GAAGCTATGAATTTCTCCCATTCAATTGATTGATTTGAAAAATGTTGAGTTGAAAACTGTTTTAAATTAATTAAATGTTTTCAAAAATTAAGAAAATTTTTAATCATTTTGGGTGTAACATAATATACTTTATATATACGAATCGATTCGTTTCAATACAAGGAATACAATTATTTTATGTATTAACTTGAATTTAAAAAAAAACACAAAATTTTTTAGTTAAAACATAAATTTTCGATTTTTCAATTGTTATTAATTCTTAAAAATATTTAAATCAAATATATACTTTATATATATCAACCAATTCGTTTCAATGCAGAGAATAAAATTATTTCATATATATAAACATGAATTTAAGAAAATACATAACATTTTTTAGCAAAATGTGAAATTTTGATTCTTTAACTTTCATTAATTCTTTAAATTTTAATCAAACCTATATTCTCTAAATCTGAATTAGTAAAAATATTTACTAATTTTAATTAGTGACTCACTTTTTGCTTCTGAATTAGTAAAATTTTACTAATTGTTAGTAAAAGTTACTAATACCTAATTAATAAAATTTTACTAATTCAGAAGCAAAAAGTGAGTCACTAATTCAAATTAGTAAACATTTTTACTAATTCAGATTTAGAGAGTACTTTATATATACCAATCGATTCGTCTTGACGTAAGGAAGACGATTATATTATGTATTACCTTAAATTTTTCTATTTAAAAAATTTTGCAATTAAAAAAAAATTTTTTGAGAAACGACGATAAAATTTTTTTTTGTGGTATTTTTAAAAATCCTCTCGTCATTTTTGAGAGATTAATGTGATAAATAAGCCTACCAAATTTTACCCAAATCCATTAAAACCTGTTAAAGATATCTAGTTCACAAAAATGATCCACACACACAAACATACATACATCCGGACAATTGATCAAGATCTCATATAAAATGTTTCTATATAGAGGAAAATTTGTTTTCACCATTTCTAAAAATTTTATAAACGAAAGGACTACAAAGTATATCCTCTACGAGGAAGCAATAGTAAAAATTTATATTAGGAGGTTTTTTAGAAGCCTAAAAAACAATATTATATTGATGAAAATTTTTTGGTCTTTTAATTTCACATATTTTAGAGGAGCACCCAGAGATTAGATATAACGGATTTTAAAATAATAATAATAATAATAATAATTCTTAGCTGCCATAGCTAAGGATTAGCAAGTCCATGCGTGTAAACTTCAAAATTATTGAATGAAGAACTAGTGCAGTTTCTCTGAAAAAATTTTTTTCTTTAATTATAGGACAGATTATTTTATTTTGCTACAATAAATTGAAATAGCCAACACAGCTAATCATTAGTCATTACATCAGCTAATAATTTGCGCTCGATATTAGTTACTTTAGCTAAATTATTAGGTTTTCCAGCTAACATCAGTTAGCAGAAATAGCTAATAAAATTTCTATCCATATAATAGCAATTAAAATTATCTGAAATAGCTAAGAGTTAGCTGTATCACCTAATTTTTTTTTCTTCGTGATGCACATGCTTTCTCCGTCGAGTAGGAAAATTTTTATTATTATTGGTGAAGGGATCAGTGGTGTGGCGTATAAAAACTGATCGACTCGATATATTGGTCGACTAACAATGCTCTTAAGTTTTGTTTACGTGTTAGTGCAAAATAACCTGGAGTCTTAAGCCCCTTAATTGACGGTTCTATTCCTCGTACTCACCGAGGTTCAACAGATTGGCGAGTACAAGAGCTTAAGGATATAAAAGCTCCATAGGAAGAGGCCATTTTTTCATATTCCATGAATAATTTACTAGCACACAAACATTGAAAGACTTATTTCGTATATATAGAAAGAAATATTTAAAACTACAGTCAACTTTGATATATATCACATAAAAAACTTGAACTCATTTTTGTTGCGAACTCATTATGATTTCGTATTGGCACAAATATCTTCTGATACGGTTGCACTTAGAAAGAGATTGTGAGAATTGTGTATTATATTTTTATACCCATTTTTCTCACCCAAGTTATTGTTTCTGGAGTAACATGTGTTAAAAAAGGTAAAACCCACAAAAAAATCGATTTTTACATTTTTGATGATTTTGATAAAAGAAAGAAATACCAGCTTTTCAAAATTAAAAAACTGCATTAATAAGACGAAAAACCATTTTCAAATGTAAAAGTGTTTCAAATTTGAAAAGATGAAATTTTATATGGCCTTGTTGAAAAATTTTATCTAACAAGAAAATGCACGAATATATTTTAGTATTATACATATATGTGTATGCTTCTTCTTCAAAAGCTTTCATGTCGAAATTTCCTAAAGTAATGAGCTTGTGACGGTACTCGTAATTCATTATAAAATGAATCCGAATATCTCGAGCTCTTGTTATTAAATATAGAAGAGAACAGTTTTGACGTCATTATAAGAGGATCTTGAAATTTTTTTTTTTTTTTGACGATGTCAGACAATTTTCTACTTCAAACTAGAAAAGTCGTCAAAACATTCTCTCCTCAATTCTCTTCAAACATATTTTAAAGTTGAAAGTGCTCTAATTTTTATTTTGCCCCTCTTTACTTTTTTTATATATCAATATTTCTCTTTTCATCTCCTTTTTTTCTATATAGATAAGTATATTAGTTTCTTGGAAGGGAGAATATAAGGCACAATATTTCTTTTCTTAGTTCTGTGTCAATAATATACTATATAGATATATAACATAAAGAATAAGAAGGAAGAAAGAAAAGTAGAAATAGGTCAAACGAAAAGGTTGGTGAATCGTACGAATCGAATACTCTGTTATATAAGGTTTTCATATTTTCTTTCACTATACAGAATGAGAGAATTATAATTATTACTTTTTTCATTAAACTATTATATGAATTGTGAGATCTGTTAATTTTTTTTTTCTATATCCTAAACTGTCAGTTAGTTTTATCTTTTTTTGTATTCTTAATCGTTAATGCATCCTTTGCTGACAAATAAAAGAAAACATTTTAATCGAAACGATGTAAAATTTCCTTTCAAATCCGCATAATTTTTCCAACTTATGAACATGTTATTTGTATTTCTAAAAAATGTTTTTCTGCAATCTTTTTTATATTCCTTTCAACATCCACATGAATGCATGATTGGCTATTTTTATCAATTCCATCATCTACAAACCCTTCTACAGTTGATTGAGCTTCATTAAAGAAAATATATTGAATCGATCCTAATGTCGTCTATCATAAAAGCATCCTATGACCTTTATCTCTTCTGTTAACTCCAAAAGTTATAAAATTGCACAATCAAAAGAATAATCGGGAATCATTGTTAAGTAGCACAAAATTTTCAAGTGGAAAATATAATAGTAAACAATATAATTACAGCATTAATAAAACTTCATTTTATATAATAAAAATACAATGTACTGTAAGTTCATATCTCAACTATTTTTTAATTTATGCAATCTCTTAAATTCCATTGATGTTTTAACTGAAATCTATTTAATCTCAACTCTCCAATTCGAATTGATATTCTATCTCAAAAGACCGGCAAACACAAAAGCTTCTGAAAGAGGAACACTTCGAAAAATAGTAAAAAGAAATTGATTCATCTCAAAAGTACCTTATTGAGGAAGAGTTCTTGGATGTTTGTCGTCTCTGACTTCCTGTTTCAATTGCAGGACTCAGCATCATCATTTTACCAGCAAACAGCTTCAAGCTTTACCTTTGTTGAAAACTCAACATGTAAAATCGATTAAATTTATTCTATTTCTATTACCTTATAGAGGCTAACCACAAGAATTTGCCTCTGATTTTATATATATATATATGGATAATAGTCGAAAAACTAAAAAGAACAGCAGAAGAAAACCGATAAGAAACGTTTTTGCTTATATATAGAAATGGAAAATTGACAAACTAACAAAGCAGAGATAAGATTGGAACAATAAAATGATAAAAAGATGTTCAATTAATTCGACAGTAACAAATAGCAATTTCTACCTTTTTCATATACATCGAATTATAATCTATAATCGAAATTCTATTATATGCACAAAATATTTCAAATCTCCGATAACGTCTAATTCCCTATGGGGAATCTAACAATATACCTTTATTTCTTCATCTCTTGAAATTAAATACTCTTCATATATTGGGCATTCATAATCAAATTTGATACTCTCTAGGTCTAAATCAGTTACCAACTTAATTCCAGACAAATGTTAAAAGTATCTCATCCTAATATTAAGAATTTATTTTTAGCCTGTATGGTTTTCGAAACAAATCTGTTTCAATAAAACCATGTAAGAAAATCAACTTTCCCGAGTCGAAATTTAGTTCCTCCTATATAATAAGCCCTCCTTTGGATCCCTTAGACTCCCATAGGTTGTAGGAGCTAAGGAGGGGCCTAGTTCGATTAAAAAAAATACTTTTTTTAATTATTTTGATTAAAGCAACATGAAATTTGTTTTCATACAATTTCTCTTTAATTAACCTTTAAAAATTGGAATTAATATATTTTGAATCGTTTTAAAAAAATTAGTAGAATTTAAAGCAATTTCAAAATTTTCAATATTTTAATCAATTTTTAGGCCATACTTTGAATCCAAAGTTGTAAAAAAATGAAATTTGCGCACATTCAAAGCAGCTAAAGAGGGTCTCTGTTTAACTCTACTTTACTCCTATGGCCTTAAATTTTGCCTCGGGAAATTACAACTTCAACTAGTAAGCTTCCATTTTAGTTGGCAACTTTTATCAAATAAATTCATAGTAATTAAATGAATGAATCAGTATATCTTTGAATTATACTCAAAAATGAGTTATTAATTCAGATTTAGAGAATTTACTAAATTAATTACTTTTCATTGAAAAAAATAATAAATTGAGAAAAGATAAAAACAAAATGAAAATAAAAATAGAAGATAATCTTAAAACCGGGAAAAGCAGCATTCATGATTCCGATAAAAAAATATATATATATATGTACAGACTATCAATCTCACCTTATTTTACTCCATACTACTCAATTCGACTTCGAGCAGAATCGATCAGTGATTCCTATTGTTTTTCTTCTATTCCATTTAGAGAAAGTTTCAGGGTTGCCACGCCAACCAAACACCACGTTTCACACTGCACTGACGTATCGATTAGTATCAAACATCAGCCCTCTATATATGTATATATATATTGATCTCTTCGTCACTTCAATGCCACTGTTTCTCCACTGTAATCACATAATTAACTTACATTACAAACTTTTCATATATAGATATAATTAAAATTATCATCTTTATATATATATATATATAAACCCATTTCATATAAACTGAAAATCAACTACTGTATTGACGCCTCCCGTTCATATGATGCTTATTGAAATAACAAAACAAGACAATTCTCATTGACATTTGAATGCAAGATATATATCTAATGCTTATTCAAAATTATTTTTAAAATCATTATTTTACAACATAATTTTTATTTATCACTCAGAGAAAAATTCGTTTGAAACTGACAAATTTTGGTTGAATCAACAAAGTAAATGCTATGCTATATACATAGTTAAACAAACGTTTGGTTTATTCAACTAAATTATTCAATTGAATATTTTTATTTGAATGATCCAAATGATTTATTGGATATATTAAGCAACAAGGGTCCAAAGGCAGGCATTGTTCACGTTGGCGTTTGCAGCTCGAAACGTGAACGATTGCTAGCAATATGTAAACAATTGGCTGCCTTTGGACCCATGTTACTTACTATATTTTTTTTTATTTCAAAGGCACAAACGTCGCGCTTTTAGGTTATCTGAAAGCCGGGTAAAAAAAGCCATTCATTTGTTCTACCCTTTGAAAATGGCGTCCATTTTTACCCTAGGGCAAACATAATGATTTGATTAAATGGAACAAACACCTTAAAATAAAAATTCTGTTTCTCTTAACTAAATCAATTTTATTCATTTATTGGAATGAAACAAATTTTTATTTGATTTAAAAGTGTTGAACGGTCTCTGAAATTCTTTGGCAAGGAAAGAACTTTAATTATCGCTCTATAAAAACTCTACGAAACACGGACACCAAGGATCTTTATCTTATAAATTTCCTAAATCCGAAAGATTGTTGCGAATCCATACGAAAACGCGCTTGCAAAACGAAAAGTAATATAATGACAGATACATTACCTCCTGCCGCCGTCAGATGGCAGAAGCATGCGGGAAGCACAAAGTCGCAGCTGTTATATATATTACTTTCCTACTTTTCGTTTTGCAATCTCGTTTTTGTATGGATTTACACAATCTTTCGGATTTAGAAAATTTATAAGATAAGGATCCTTGGTATTTTGGCCGATAAAAAAGTGATGGTGTTTCGAGAAATATGTATGTTAAAATCAATATTTATCATTTTCACGTTCAGTGTCATCAATATAAAGCTTCCTATGAGGAAGCAAAACTGAATGTAATAATCAGAAATCTGGATAATAACCAGAACATGGAGTAAAAAAATTATTACACTAACAATCGGATTGTTAATATAGAACTAATAAATCTGGTTTGTTGTTGCAACAAATTTTTTGTTTGTCTAACAATTCAAAATTATTGTGATAATCGCATTTATTACAATTTCTTTTTCTCCGTGTATTTAAGTATTATTTATAAAAAAAAATATAAATCATATAATACTATTTCCGATGTGATGAGAATTTAAAAAAAAAGAAATAAATTAATCAGCACATTGTTGTTATTATTTTGTGCATTTAAGTGTTATATGATTAGATATACGTAGGTGTACAGATCGAGTATCATTGATTCGTGTAACCAGTTGAACAGTAATACAAGCCGTTTTGACAAGCATCTATTACATTCATGGGACAACGAGATACCAACCACGGTACCAACATACGTACATATATACTTTGGTCTAAGGCAAGCTGCTGGGGCATCGTGCTCTGAATAAAGGGGAAGACCATTTCGAGGCAATGTCAGCTCAGTATACCGACGTATTGTCCGTAATCGGCCCCCTTTGAGACTCAATTACGTTTCAGACTGCTTTCAACAGTGACCAACAGTAATCAATCCACTAATAGCACAAATTACTATACTCTTCCTCATATAATATCTACACATATAATATAGTATAGATATATTATTCTCAATATATCGAAATACATCACATATATATTCTATATATAATAAATCTCTCACAAAACTTTCATTTATCAATTTTTTTTTATTACAACTTGTCACGAACATCATATATATCTTCTACACACCCAATAGTAATACTTTTTGAGGATTTTCAATTTTGAAATTTTATCATTTTTAACCAAAGGTTTCTCTGGTGTATGTGTGTGTAAAAAAATTTCTAGAAGAATATTAAAAAAATTTTCATAACTTTATTTCAATAATTTTTAAATTTATCGCCATTAACCATATAGTTTTTAGTGTGGCCTTTGAAAAGTTTCTATTTTTTAAATTGAAATTAAGAAAAGAGATAATTTCTCTAATTAAATGTAATAAATTTCTTTAATTTAATTCTATTTCAGTCTTATTATTATGCGGATTAATATTAAGTTAAAGCAGTATATCATTTTAGCTGCAGCTCAAAATGAATATTATAGAATACGGCGATCATTTTAAGTTAAGGGGTTTTTTCTTATATTCTACTCGAACATAAAAGGATTCATTCATGTAAAAGGATACAAAAGAAGCATGAGAAATTTAAATCGATAATATAAAAATTACATCCATAGACTTCTAATAAGCCTTCAATTTTACGAAATGGGATGAGTGAAACCTTGTAATTTATAAAGTTTTTTTTTCATAAAAAATATAGTCCTTGATAATCATTGTAAAACATATCAGGAATTAGTATTCTCGTTGATTTTTTTTTTACACTAAAATCATTATTAACCTCGAACCAAGAGCGATTATCGATTGCTTATATATGAGCAAGACTTTTTTTTTCTTTCTCCCTTATGGAATATACGCGTGACGAGATATTCAAGCAATTCGCTTTTCCGAACCAACAATATTGCGCTAACGATGCTTCCTTATCGTCTGTATAAAGCACGAGTTCACCTGTAGATCGACCTCAGTGACCTTTTTTAAATGACCAATGAATATGCAACACTTTGTATCTACAACTATTTCATTACATTCCCTTTAAATCGAAAACATATAGGTATATCTATAATTAGAAATTTCATATCAAGAAAAATATCAAGTATAATAGTATTCATATATGAAAGGTAAAAAAAATTATTTAATATTTATCTTTAGAAATTTTTGAAAAAATAATTTTCTAAAAATAAAAAAGAAATTCATATTAATTAAAATACTAGCGATGTATTCCTCGCTCGCTAACGCTCGCTCGGTTAAAATTGTACTTATTGTTGTTTACTTATTGTAGTTTATGTATATTATATATATAATTTATGTTTTAAATTAATATCTTATTAATATTGTATAAAATTTATCTTAAAATTGAAAAAAGATGTTACATAAAAATAGTTTGTAAGATTTTCTAAAAGCATATATGCAAAGTATTTTGATTTATTTGAAAATAATTGAAAATAGATTTTTCAAGGACGGTGTCGAGGTCACGGGGTCGGTGTCGTTTTTCGAAATTTGTTAACTTAATATAATAGAAGATGTTTCGTTTTAAATTAAGAAATGTTAAAATTATTAAGTTAAAAAAAAATTATTTCTTCTTTAGGGAGTCTATTAATATAGGTATATAAAAGTAAAAATAATTACAAACAAATAAAGATATCAACAAAATTAAAATAATAAAAAAATTTTTAAATAACACAGTCCTACGAAATAAAAAAGCGTCGGGGTTTGGGAATCAAAGTATATCCTACCATCTTGAATTTTAGAAGTCTGACTTCAGATTCGTAATTAGCGACCCTAAAAACCCCTAGGTACCAAGTTTCATAAAAAAAATTATTAAATTTTTAGCAAAACTGTCCGGCATATTAGATCCGTCATTTTGAATTTTGAAAATCTTTCTTCAGATTCGCAATGAGTAACTCCAAACTACCCCAGATACCAAGATTTATATAAATCCATTAATGTTTAAAAAGGCACGCATGAATATTCCCCAAATTAGACTTGCCGGAATTTTCGTGATGTCGAATTAAAAATTATAGAATTTACATTTAAAAAAAGTAGATTTTAAAATGAGCCCAATTTTCATATCGAAAAATTTCTATTTAAAAAAATTCTAATTTTATAAAATTTTTATTTAACTGAACTCTAATAAAGCAGATTTTCTAATATATCGAATTTTCAAATAACACCATTTCAATTTAACAAAATTTATATCTAGAAAAATTTACGTAAAAAAGATTTTTTATTTATCAGAATTGTTCTTTTGTCGAATTTCTATTTATCCGAATATTCACATAAAAGTATTTTTATTAATAGAATGTCCAATTCAAAGAATTTCTATATAACAAAATTCTTATTTAAGAAAACTGTTATTAAATAATATTTCTTTTTTATTTAATTTTTATTTAATAGAATTGTCATTTAACAAAAATTTTACTTAGCTAAATTTTTAAGACAAAGAATTTTTATTTCACCGAAACTTTATTTGGCCGAAGTTTCACTTATCCGAATTTTCATTATAGATAGAATTCTTAAAAAGTCGAATTTTCATTTGATCGAACTTTCATATATCAGATCATCCACTTGGCAGAAACATTTCAGCGGGAGTTTTAAAATCAACCAATCAAAAATTATCAAGAAAATTGTGATTGGTTGATTTTAAAAATCCTGCTGAAATGTTTCTGCCAAGTGGATGATGGGATATGTGAAAGTTCGATCAAATGAAAATTCGACATTTTAAGAATTCTATCGAATGAAAATTCGAATAAATGAAACTTCTGTCAAATGAAGTGTCGGGGAAATATAAAATCTCTGACTTAAGAATTTATAATTAATTAGAATTTCTGTTCAATGACAATTCTACTAAATATTAATATAAAAATTGTTAACCAACCTATTACAATATCTTGCTGTAAGCTTCCCTTAAACAAAATTCAAAATCATTTCATACGATTTATCATAATTTTCCAAGTCTTTTTTTTATTTGAACTATTTTCCACGTATTTTCTGCGTAGAAGCATCAGAATTCTCAAACAATATTTCATTCACCAACTCTTGTGAATCACTCAAAACGTCTCGTTGGTTAGGAAAATAAAAATTTATTAAAAGAATATAGGGAGACTGGAGAAAGTTGGCAACTTTATAAGAACAACCAGCAGAATATATAGATTGGATGACGATAGAAGATCACAATCAGAACTTTCCCCTCAAACACTATACCGCGGCTATAACATAACTTTAAACGATTCTGATCTTTAAGACCAATACGAGTAATATTTAAAGATATATAGGAAAACTTACTCTATAACTAATATATAGATTTAAAGAATCATATTTATCTTGCAAACTTTGATTTTTAAAGACGTCAAAATAAAAAAAAATATTCGGAATATATTATAAAAAATTTTATATATATTTAATATTTCAATAAATTTATAATTAACCCCTGATAAATATTGCAAACAAAAAAGTAATTGAATCAAAAAATGTATATAAATACATAGGAGTAGAGATTGTGCTGGGGTGACAATCATTTTATATATTGCACCTTGCACCTACTTTCCATTTATGCTATTTTTACATATCCTAGCCATTTAAATTTATCACTGACCGTTTAGAATAATCTAAAAATAGAATACAATTCTCCCCTAGAATAACCTCAACTATTCAAGGGTCAAGCAAAGGTCAAGTTGAAATGTCACTTGGCAACCTTTCTTTTCTAACAAATAACTCAATGTCTTTTAAATTTACTATATAATAATGTTATAAATACGATTTAAAAATTTGCAAATAGTGAATATTATAATTAATTTTTAGTTAAAATTAGAAAAGAATCTTGCCCTTTGATAATATTTAAAAGTTTTTTGCATATTTATTTAATTACAATTCTTAAAGATTGTTCTTAAAGATTAAAACAGATGTTAGGCTAAAGTATAGTATGCATTTATGCATTTATAGCCATTTTACTCAAATTTTTGAATAATCTAATCGTTTTCTCCGTGTATATATAAATGGAATCCTATTTCCGTTTTCGAAAAATCTGTGGAGTAATTTTTTTGTCACATTAAGTTTTGAATAAAACAATTAATAATTAATAATGTATTCACAAATTTACTATAAGTAAATTATGATTTTACATATGCCTATAGAAATAGTCTTGTATTTTCATATACATATATGTAATGTATATCTAAGTTTGCTAAGACAAATATTTGTATAGTAATGTAATTTTAAATTGCATAATAAATGCTTTGTTTTACTTTTATGTTGAATAAAATATTAATTGTATTCAAAATTAAAGTTTATATTTCTAAACAACATTTAACATAAATTGAATTTATTTTATATTAATTTTAATAATTTTTTTAAATTGTTTTTTCAGCTTATTCTGATTAACACCCTAGTAAGTTACTCATCCAAAAATTAAAATAGTCAGCCATATGTTCTAGAGAAAAAAACATGAATTTTTAGGGTTTCCGAAACACTTAAAGTTTCAAATGCTTATGTAGCACGTTGCATACGTTTCCTTCAAAAAATTTTCCAAACAATTTTTAAAGCCGAAACAAAGTCTTTCCACGGCCTAAAATTGTTTAGCATTCTTCTCCTTTTTACCTCGCGCGATAAAGAAAATACGTCTGCGCATAAATCTCCAACACATTTTGAACGTCTCAAATTTCTCTTAATAATAATTTAATGATATACAAAATAGTGAGAAAAGTTCTCAGGGTAGATAACTTTAAAAAATGTTTGAAATGACAAATTTTATAACCTTCATAAGAATTTACTAACAGCCTGGGAAATATGATCGTCAAATGATAAATCTGTACTTAAGCACATTACTATTAATTTAATAACAATAATTTAAAAATATATTTTATATTATTAATAAATAACAAAAATAAAAGTGACCCAACTGTAGAACCTTGAGGCACTCCAGTGTTTGTAAAAAATTCAGATGAATTTGTATGATTTATTTGAACATTGTGAGAGATCGATCTGCTATAAGTAACTTCTCAACCAATCAAGAAAATTCGATCCCACACCTAAAAGTTTCAATTTGGCTAAGTATAGCAGATGATGATTTTTTACCTTGTCAAACGCTTTTGCAAAATCAATACAGTACCCAATAATAATATTTGAAACAGAATTAAACAATATTGATCAAAAACGATACCTTCGATTAATTTTGAAAAATAGTATTGTAATTGGATGAATAATTAAACCCTTTGCCCACTCATGTGGCCGTTATCGTCTATAATGGTCTGTTTGGACGCCTGGTGGGAACTATGGGAATTACGTTCAGTAGCGCTAGAGGACGATAAGTTAATAGCGAAGGTACAGGATTGACTTGAAAATTATCTAAACTTTCATATACAGTTAGAAAATGTAATTGCAAACTTGGAGATTTTCGCAGATTTTCTGCAATTCTCAATTTAAAATCTTCCGTGTGCTTAATTGCAATTTATTTCCATCAGAGATATTAGTGAACGCACTGTCGCCAGCAATGTTTTGTGCATTAAATTTTCATTTCAAAACCGAAGAACTCATTTGCTCTTACTGCTGTTTTTCAGGTAGCTTTTCTACAAATCTTATAATTGAAATTCTTTTAAACATCGTCTGGTTTCTTACACTTGCTTTGTTTCGCATTTTCTTTTTCCTTGATTTGAGAGTAAACTGTAAGCGACATATACTAGTACTGTACCATTTTTCTATTTCTTTGTCAGGTTTTTAATAAGAGAATTTCCATTTAGTTTCGTGGAATCATAAATTATGAGAGACTTCAAATTATAATTTGTTAAAAATTCTATATAATTATGATCTTTTAAAATAGAAATCAATACAATTTATAAGTATTAATTGGATTTTATATATGCCTTAATTTTATGTTATAAAAAAAGGATTTTCAGAAAGAAATTTTTTGAGATTTATTTTTATTAATATTTTATATATATAACTAAAACTAGACTATTTAGAATTAAGTCGCTATGTTGCCACATTTATAATGGCTAGTGATTGGTGTACTTGTAAATGTACCTGTCTGTTTATAGAGGCTAGCAATGTATTCAGTACAGTCGGGCGAAAGAATCTTAAGTAGTGTACTATATAGTTGTCATAAACTTTTTATGCTTAAAATTTGACTTTACTTTTGAAAATGATTACTGCAAAGGAACTACTTTAACCGCTAATAAGTCTCTAAATATTAATCAAAAGACAAATAATAAATGTTCCGTACAAGAAAAACAAGTACAAGAAAAAAAAATTATTCTGTTAAAAAAACTTCATTACTTTTGACAATAGAATTTGATTTAAAAAATTTCCATTTAAAAGTGATTTTTGAGTAGTACTGTTACGCTAGGGGAGGGAAGTAGAGTAATGAAAAAAAATCAAATTAATTATCAGAGAGTCCTTAACAAATTCTAATAGTTTAATGTAAATTTTGTTGAATTTAAAAAATTTTTAATTTATCTCGAGAATTATTTATATTTTTCAAAATAAGAATAATAATAAATTATAATTAAAGTTATTATTTTTGTATTTTGCAAATTAAAAACAAAAATTTAACAATAACCCAAATTTTTATTTTAGATATAAATTTAAAAATATATGTAATACTTTAACCAATATAAGATAGGATTTAATTTTCATAAGTCACCTTTGTACCCTTAATTTATTCCAGAATATATATAACGTAGTGCAATTCAATGACAAAAGAACTAAAATATTTCTAGAAACTGAAGAACAATTAATGACATACCTATTTTTGTTCTGGAATTAGCTTCACAAAATTAAAATATTCCAGTTCTGAATAAATAATAATTTTCAAAAATATTCACACGCACTAAAACAGGAAACACGCGAATTTGAAAGCGAAAAAACGATTCGAATCAGTCTTATCTTATATATATGTAGAATTAATTAGGAAGACGAAAGTCTTAATGCGCATTGTATATATCTAAATAATTGCATTCGACAATAAGTGAAGAAAGAATCACGTCACTCGCGACTTAACGGGGATTGTGCCTCCCGAGAACTGGTTCGTTAGGGCGCTAAAAGCGCGACGACGACGACAACGAATACGACGACAGCCCCCGCCCGGGTTAGCGCGTGCGCATCCAAAACCACCCCTGCCCTGAGCAACCCCTTTTTACTTCTCTCTACCCCACACACACACACACACACACACATTCGCTCAACGATGCCAACTTGCTTGCTCTCTTTCCTATATATATCGAAGCAACCCTAATATTCGCCAGAGAAAGCGATGTGCCGATCTGCACATATACCTGTAAATTCTATTGTTCTTCATCATATGCACGATTCTCTACGTTCGACCTGCTTTCTAAAACAATAGCTGCGGAATGAAATATTTAATCGCTGCAAACAAGCTCATTATATGATTGTTTACACAATACAAAATTTGTTTGATTGTGATCAACAGTTTTGCACTTTAAGACAAGGAATAACATTCATAAGCGAAGACAATGGTCTGAAAGTCTTGTGTGTGACACTGTCACCCAACAAATAACTCTTTGATGATGATGATGATGATGATGATAAGTCAATTAAAAACTTATCGGACATACTTCTGAATAAAGCATATCACCAATTCTAATTGTAAGGTTGTACACTGAAAAAAATGTTACCGTAAAATTCAACCATCATTGGGTAGTTGATTAGAAAGTAGTTAAAATAACTATACTTTTTTAGTTTGTCTAATCATATATTTATGTAGTTAATGTAACTATTTTTAAGAAGTTAATAAGTAATAGTTGATTTTACGTAAATATGTAGTTAAAGTATACAACTACAGATCGGTAGTAAAATTAACTTTCTTAAGGTATTAAGAACAACTGCCCACATAGCACGACTTCTTGCTGTGAGGTTACTGTAAGTAGAATATCTGTAGGGTTTGTAAGGTTACCGTGTAAGCCTGCAGTAAACTTGAGGTCATCTTAAAACTTCCGCCTTACAGTAAGCTTACACAGTAAGGTCGTGGTAAGTTTACATGGTAAGGTTGTGGTAAGCTTACATGGTAAGGTTGTTGTAAGCTTCCCGTAAGGTTACTGTAAGGTTGCTATAAGGTTACTGTTAATATAAAGTAATATGAAAATATATTAAAAATAATTATATTATAATATATATATTATATTATAAATTTTTTTGTATAAAAAATGATATATTTGGTAAAGTACTTTATGAACCCCAATAGGGTTTGTCAAATAAAAGTCACTGCGCAGCCGTATGTGCCAAAGAAAACTACTGCGCATAAATATTAATAAATTTTATTTACATGTTTATGTTTACAGTAACCTTACATCAACCTTACAGTAACTTTAAAGGAAGCTTACAACTACCTTACCGTGTAAGCTTACCACAACCTTACCATGTAAACTTACCATGACCTTACTGTGTAAGCTTACCTTAGCTTTACTGTGTAAGCTTACTGTAAGGCGGAAGTTTTAAGATGACCTCAAGTTTACTGCAGGCTTACACGGTAACCTTACAAACCCTACAGATATCCTTACAGTAACCTCACAGCAAGAAGTCGTGCTATGTGGGTGTAATTGTATAGTTGCAACTAAAAATTTGAAGAGTATAGTAAATTCAACTACAATTCACCAGTTATATAAAAAGTTGTAAAAGGAATTATTTTCTTTAATTAATATATAACTGCTTTTTAATTAGTAAATTTTTTATTGATTTCTGTGATATTATATAGGCTTCAATAACATTGTTTTAGAATTAACAACTCGTCCGTAATTAAAACTACTACTTTAAGTAGTAGATTTTACTACCAAAAATAATTCAATAGGCTTTAAGAACATTTTTTTTGTAGAATTAAAAAATCCTTTGCAATTAAACCAACACAAAGAAAAATGAAAATTGAGATTTCAGACTATAGAACAATTGGAATAATTTCTATTACCGTAGAAATGAATAGAAAATTTTAGGTTTACATCCCAAATAGTTTAGTAATGATTATCAATTAAAATGAATTCTAAACATCTTACAGCGGTTCCACATATGTATACGAAATCGCAGAGTCGTTGCGAGCCACGTAACCCGACTGCGCCATCTACCTAATGATTTCCCCTTCTGACGTCACGGAGGGGATGAGTGCATTGAGTAGATGGCGCAGTGGGGTTACGCGGTTCGCAGCGACTTTGCGATTTCGTATACATGTGGAACCGCTGTTAGAAAACGCTAATATTTGCCTTTAAGTGAGTGCTAGCAGTTTCCGTGATTTGTTTTTTTCTGATCTGGAGATCTAACTATGTTCACTATACGTTTTTGGAGTCCCTGAATCCGAATCCGGGGTCCATTTGACCCCATCAGATCAGAATTTGACGTAACCTCAAATAACCAATATGGCGGGTACTTTTCTGTAAAAATTCATCGGATTCGCCATCCCACATAGCACGACTTCTTGCTGTGAGGTTACTGTAAGGATATCTGTAGGGTTTGTAAGGTTACCGTGTAAGCCTGCAGTAAACTTGAGGTCATCTTAAAACTTCCGCCTTACAGTAAGCTTACACAGTAAAGCTAAGGTAAGCTTACACAGTAAGGTCGTGGTAAGCTTACATGGTAAGGATGTGGTAATAAGCTTACACGGTAAGGTTGTTGTAAGCTTCCCGTAAGGTTACTGTAAGGTTGCTGTAACGTTACTGTTAATATAAAGTAATATGAAAATATATTAAAAGTAATTATATTATAATGTGTATTATATTATAAATTTTTTTGCATAATTAAAAAATGATATATTTGGTAAAGTACTTTATGAACCCCAATAGGGTTTGTCAAATAAAAGTTACTGCGCAGCCGTATGTGCCATAGAAAACTACTGCGCATAAATATTAATAAATTTTATTTATTAACAAAATTCTATGTTTACAGTAACCTTACATCAACCTTATAGTAACCTTAAAGGAAGCTTACAACTACCTTACCGTGTAAGCTTACCACAATTTTACCATGTAAACTTACCACGACCTTACTGTGTAAGCTTACCTTAGCTTTACTGTGTAAGCTTACTGTAAGGCGGAAGTTTTAAGATGACCTCAAGTTTACTGCAGGCTTACACGGTAACCTTACAAACCCTACAGATATCGTTACAGTAACCTCCCAGCAAGAATTCGTGCTATGTGGGATGGAGTAGTATATAAGAAGACCGAATGACCATGTTAAATCTGCGCTAAAAGTGACCTCTTTTCGGTACCTGCTAAACTTCAAAAAAATACGGAATGGAACACTAGCGCCACTGATTGTGTCAAACTCAGCTGGACAGTCAGCCATTGTAAAAGTTTTAAAAATAAGGAGCAATGTATTTTTGGGTTATGTTCAACGTACTTCTAATTTTTCCCACTATTTACAGACTTCTCACAAGAGCACTTGTGTTCCATGTCGTATTTTCATGACACTAAGTAGGTATTAAAATTTGCGGTCCACTTTCAATGTACGTCGTTCGGTCTCCTTATACTACTCCATGGGATTCGCTTAAAACTCATTACTTGGGGGTTTTCGGGGTCGCTAAATACGAATCTAAAATTATTTTTTCAAAATTGTAGTGTTTTCGCTACAAAAATGGTTTTTACGTGTAATTTAAATTGCAAAATATTTATTAATTATACAAAAAAAATGTTCTTAAAGCCTATTGAACCACTTTAAGTAGTAAAATCTACTACTTACATCTTGAGTTGTTTTAACATTTTTATAAATTGAGTTAAAGTAATCACAAAATGTTATTCATCCAATTACATTCTTAATTGGTTTAACTATTTTTATATTGGCAATTCCCAGTAAGAAAAGAGTGACCCAATATTGGCAGCATTGGCCTAATATTAGACCATCATTGGTCCTATACTGGCCAAATGGTTACCATTGGCAATTTCCCACTGGGTTGAACCTTATTTATATTGAGTTGAGGACCTCTTGCACTATGTAGAGTAGTTAAAAAGTGGTAAAACCTACTAGTTTCAGTGTAAGAAAATACATAACTTATTGTAAAAAATTTTTATATATTGTGTAATTTATACAAATTAATTTATAATTTATTATATGTATGTTTACAATATCGAAAGTTTACTGTAACCTTACTGAGTAAGGTCACTGTATAGCAGACATTTTAAGTTTACCTTAATCTTACTGTAAGTTTACATTGTATTCTTACAAATCTTACATGTAAGTCTGCTGTAAAGTTGTAGTAACCCAAGAAGCACGTAATATAACCTCAATATCAAGGTAATATTACATGTAAGATTCGTAATATAACGTTGTAATATTACAGTAATCTTACAGTGATCTTAAAATGTCCGCCTCAAGGTAATATTACCGGTAATGTTACTGTAATATTACGCGCTAATATTAAGGTAAGAGAATATTACAGTAATATTATGGGAATATTTCTTTACGAAAAAAATCTACCCATCCAGGGAATCGAACCCCGAACTCAAAGCACACGAGTCCAGAGTTTTACCAACAAGCCAAATTGACTTATAATATATTTACGTTTTTTATGCTTTATGAATAACTCAAATCAGTCTGTAATATTACTGTAATATTACCTTGAGGCGGACATTTTAAGATCTCTGTAAGATTACTGTAATATTACAGCGTTATATTACGAATCTCACGTGTAATATTACCTTGATATTGAGGATATATTACGTGCTTCTTGAGAAATTATTGTGCTGTGTAGGAAGCCACATTCGTTCCATCCGAAAGAGGTTTCTCAAAAAGTTCGTTGATTATTCGAAAACACCGCAATGTAGACTGAACGACGAATCAAAAAGACACTTATCGATGTTCCGTAATGGCAAGCAGTGGTTGTCTTTCAAAATTTGGCTCCTCGTAGGTGCATTTAATTTAAAAATGATTTTTCTCTCAACTCGGATAGAAACGGAAAAATCGAAAAAAATACCAGTTATCCTGAAATGTTGTACTTTTATTTACGCACAAGAAATTGAAAATTTATTACGATAAACGACGTCAAAAAGTGAAATAAGAAATTTTTTTGTAGCCGTCAGGTGCTGCCCCATACGGTAAATTTCAGTACTACGCAAATGTTTATACTCTTCCTATTTTACTTCCTGTCGTTTTATATGTGAATAAATTTTTAATTTCTTGGAGGCAAATGAAAGTACACACACTCAGGATAACTAGTATTTTTTCCGATTTTGCTATTTCTGTCCGAATTGGGAGAATAATATTTTTGAAATTAAATGTATCTCATTTTTAAAAGACAACCACTGCTTGCCATTACGGAACACCGTTAATGTGTTTAAATTCATGAGTTTTGTGTTCTCTATCCCCAGAAATACTTAAAATGATGAAAAAAAGTTAATTGAATGTAATGCAATTTTGAAATACACAGGCACACAAAAAATAAAAAGCTGTTTGGCCGAGACACTACACTAGTCTATTTTCATGTATTTTTTCACGCTGAATCCGAATCCGAAGTCAGAATTGTTAGATTCGCCCAAATTTTTCAGATAATTGCAAAAAAACGCAAGTAACAAAAAACTCAAAATACTCAAAATCAGTTTTTTGGAATTATCTTTAAAATTTGAGCCAATCTGTCAATTCTGACTTCGAATTCGGATTCAGCGTGAACAAATACATGAAAATGCATTATCGTAATGTTTCGGCAAAAAAAAATTTCTTTGAGCTAAAATCGCCAAAAACTGATAAAAATTCTGAATTAGGGGCACAGATAATTTTTTTGCTGAAACACTACGATAGTGCATTTTCATGTATTTTTTCACGCTGAATCCGAATTCGAAGTCAGAATTGACAGATTGGCTCAAATTTTGAAGATAATTCCAAAAAACTGATTTTGAGTATTTTGAGTTTTTTGTTACTTGCGTTTTTTTGCAATTATCTGAAAAATTTGAGCGAATCTAACTACTTTTTGTGTGCCTGTGATATTATTTATTTATGATAATCAGAAGAGATCATTACTCAGTAATATTATTGGCATTATTAATATATTGATAAAAATATATAAACAATTAAATTGTTATAAATAAAGGGAAATTGATGGGAAAAATTATATTGTAAAACTTAGAGATTGTACAATGAAGAAAAAAATCTAAAATCTAATAATTACATATAAATTATGTTTTTTTTTTCATACAATATTTCTTTTTAAAATTTTGCTAATTCTAATTGTTTATAAATTTATTGTTATAATAAATGCAGCAATACTTTTACAAATATTAAACATAGAATAATTTTATTTTCAACGTATTAAAAAACTGCGTGGTTTTATTCATTCACTTTGACAATGATTTAATTAAGTAAAATAACAACTACATACTGATTCAATTATCAAATAGTATAAAAACTAGATTTTCATTTAATGCACCTGCTGAAGAAAGAAATTTGGCTTCGGCCATTAATCCAGATACACAGGAAAATTTAGCGACTAATAATATTCTCGGATCTTTAAGGGGATCTGGACAATTAATAGTATAAAAGGCAGTTTGCTAACTGATGATATTCCTGAAACTTCGAGGGAATTTGGACAATTTACTATAAAAAAAGATTTATCAAGTGATGATATTCCCAGAACTTCGAAAAGATCTCAACAATTTACTTTAAAAGAAGATTTATCAAGTGATGATATTCTTATAAATTCGAAAGCTTCTGGACAATTTAGTAATAAGTATTGGTATTATATCATCATATTTGGAGAAGATGAATTGTGTATTCATATTCTCCAAACATGATGATATAATACCAATACTTATTACTAAATTGTCCAGAAGCTTTCGAATTTACAAGAATATCATCACTTGATAAATCTTCTTTTAAAGTAAATTGTTGAGATCATTTCGAAGTTCTGGGAATATCATCACTTGATAAATCTTTTTTTATAGTAAATTGTCCAAATTCACTCGAAGTTTCAGGAATATTATCAGTTAGCAAACTGCCTTTTATACTATTAATTGTCCAGATCCCCTTAAAGATCCGAGAATATTATTAGTCGCTAAATTTCCCTGTGTATCAGAATTAATGGGCGAAGCCAAATTTTTTTCTTCAGTAGGTGAATTAAAATTTTTAATTTTAAAATTTGACAATAACATACGTTGTTGTCTTTGTATCTACATCTAAATTAAGATATAGTGTAATTTTTCGAAGAAAAACAGACGCATAGTGAGAATTTCTTGTGAATTGGTTCTATTCAAGATATGTGAAAACAAATTTTTATAGGCTTTAATTAAAAATTCCTCATTCCGAGAAGTTTAGAATTTTGTTTTTTTGAATGTCTCCTTTTCCTTATAGGCGTAGAAAAATAGAGCCGGTGTTGAGAAAAGTTCTAACATTATTTCAATCAACCTCTCACAAAATTAAAATATAATCAGCAAACAAAAAAATTAAGTATGAGGCTATTATGAGTGGCAAAACAATAATTCTTTTTAATGAAATTGTTATAGAACTCCTGTTTTATAATTTTCATAATTTCTGAATAAGATGAATTATCTGAAAATGAAAAAAATGAGTTATAAGAGTCGTTATTATTTAATTAGTAAGAGGAATACTTTATAGTTAGTAGGAACAACATAATTGTAATTATATTAATTATTCTAATAACTATTAGTTATTTAAATAATTAATTTAAGAAAGAATTTTATATAAAAATTTTTGAAATAATTAAATTTTAGAAGAATTCAAGTAAGAATTTTTTAAATATTTGAATTTCAAGATATTTTTAATTAATATTTTCATAAATTTGAAGTTGAATTGCTGAATATTTTTTATAAGCTTCAGACATTAATTGAATCGAGAGATTTAATACTAGAGAACTAATTTTTTAATTATTTAATTTCTATTCTTCGATATTTGTATATAAATTTTTTTAGATAATATAAAAAATGTGATAAAGTTTATGATAAACAATACCCTAACTATTATAATTTCTCTCAGTGTATGGATTAAATTTTAATTTCTCCAAAAAGACACATTCGGAAGAGAAGATATAAATAAAATTAAATAAAAATTTTTGTATTTTATTGAAAAAATTTGTTCATTTAAATATTATTGACACAAAATAAATTTTTACACAAATTGAAGGAATTTTACTTACAACGAATGGCCACTTGTCGCGGAAAATAACTGCTTGAAATTGATTTCAATGGAGAAATGAAGCTATGAAAGTTTAATGGATACTTAAATATTTTTTTTTAACTTTATCAAGAAAATAAAAAAGATAAAAAAATACATATACATATGGGGCGAAATTCCTGAAGTGTATCAATAGGAAAAATGTGAACATTGTATTTTTTGAAGAATCAAAACTATTGTATAAGAGGGTCCTTTTTTAAAAAAAAGTTAAAAATATTTTTGATTTCCTAAAAAAGGTGTGAATTGAATTTTGTAAAAATAATTTTTGCACCATTCGAAAGAGCAAGAAAAAACTTTTCCAAAACATATAGGTCAAAATTTTTTTCATCTTTTTATATAATAATTATGATTTTTCAAAAAAATTAACTGTTCAGATTTGACTGAAATTTGAATCCTCTTTCTCCTCTACAGTTTTTGATAAAAATTAATAAAAATTTATCGGTGAAGTACTTATCCATAGTATTAAATGCTATATGCAAATTGCAGCCCAATCTAAGAAATTTTTTTTTTAATTGGTACACTTCAGAAGTTTTGCCTCAAATATATTTACAGTTGTGACCTAATGGCGTAATCGAGCAATATTTAATTTCTTTTTTACATTGTAAGTTGTAAAATGATATGTTTTTATAGTTTTGTCGATAAACCGATATTATTTCAAGGATTTAGTTTTCGATACTTGTCTTTTATGAATGTTTTAAAATTTTTAACATTTATTAAATAACTAAAAATTCTATAAAAATAAAAAAATTTTCAATCAAAATTTTTTGTAAATAATTTGTTGTGCCTATATCTTTTGAAAATTATATTACAGCAAGGAACATCCTTAACAAAAATAGAGAATTTATTTTAATATTGCGTTTGAAAGCTTATTAAATTTCAACTTAAATAATTAAATATTCATCTTAAAGAGTTTGCTTAAATATCTCAGTAAAAAATAAAAGATACCAGAACACGTTTTAAATGAAGATAAATAGCACCTCCATTTTTCTTGTTGGGTTCGATTCTGTGACACTTCTGAATGATTTTTCTGCAAAATTTAAAATAATCCCCTCAGCCGTTTTAGAAATAACCCTATGAGCACGGACTTTTCGGAATTCTCGGAACATAATCCTTTTTCGGTGAATTAGCCCATAAGGATCAATATATATGACCAGTAATCGCGATATACTTTTTTTGTCTATTTGGATCATCAAGAGCACTTCGGTGTTGTAGGTCGTTTCGCGTTTAAGACTTAATATCCTTTAAATTACAGTGGATGTCCGTGCTCATTGGGATATTTGAAAAATTAAATTTAAAATTTAAATTAATTTTTAATCAACAGCAATTGAATATATATATATATATATATCGAACAATCGATAATATGAATTTTTATGTACAATTTATTTACAAATTACATTTTTATGATCGTATATTTTATTTCAACATAAACTCATATCACGAAGAGTAAGTTTAGGAAATTGAACACTTTCTTCAATCCATTTTGCAACTGTTAGAAGTTTACGTTCCTCAAGATTTGCAGCCATTAATTGTAAACTTAAGGGTAATCCCTTCTTCGAAATAGAAACAGGAATATTAATAGCTGGTAAACCGGCCATATTTGCTGGTTGAGTAAAATAATCTTGCATCGAGCATTGTGTTTGATTATCAGCTTTTATAAAATCTCTATACATCGGAGCATCCGATAAAGTGGTAGGTGTTAATAAAAGATCAATTTCCATATTCCATAAAGCATTAAAATCCTCAGCAATTAATCTTCGAACTTTCATTGCTTTGACAAAGTAATTTTCATAATTTTCCGAGAGTAAAAAATAATTGCCAGCTAAAATTCGACTTTTGACGACATCATTAAATCCTGTACTTCTTGTCTTAGCAAATAATTCCTCTGTGGAAAATGTCTCATTCGCTCGATATCCAAATTCAATACCATCATAACGTGCCATATTACTTGCGACTTCACATTTATTCAAAACCGAATAACAAACAATAGAAAATTCAGTATGAGGAAGAGAGACTGAAATAATTTTGGCGCCAGCTTCCTCTAAAATTCGTGCAACATTTTGCCAACACTCATTTACCTCATTGCTGAGATTTTTTAATTGATATTCTTTTGGAATTCCAATTCGAAGTCCACTTACATCAATGTTTTCTGGCAATGAAATTGGCTGATATTCTCTCTTTAGAGTTGTAGAGTCCGCAGAATCTGGTCCAGCTATTGCATTAAGAACAATTAATGCGTCGTCCACGTGTCTTGTGAGAATACCGGGAACATCCATAGAATTAACTAAGGGTATCAATCCGTGACGAGATACTAATCCATATGTGGGCTTCAGTCCAATTAATCCACAGTACGCAGCTGGATTTCGAGTTGAGCCACCGGAGTCAGATCCTAAGGCAGCGTAACATGTTCCCGAAGCTACTGCCACTGCTGAACCACCACTGCTACCTCCTAATAAAATTCAATTATTTATTTCTTCATAATAATCAACATTTCGTAAGAAAGTTTTCAAAAAATTACACTCCCACCTAACAATTTATTTTTCATCAAGTGAGAATTTAGGACTAATTAACTATAATAATCTTGGTATTCATTCATTCATTCATTCATTCCGTCCGGACCCCTGCTGGGTTTTCGGTGACAGAGAAAAGAACAAGTTATGGAGAGAGAAAGATATATCTTTATTTGGGCGATTCACGATTCGCCGCCAACTCATCCCCGTGTACCTGCTCAGCGGCAAATTTTCGTCCCCGTATGTTCCCCCACTACCGGCCGTACTGTACCCCTCCGTTCAGTTCATTTTGGGTAACAATTGAATTTTATTTGATTTTAAATTGAAAATTTTTGAAAATAATTGAATTTTCTTTGATTTTGAATTGAAATTTTGGATAATAATTAAATTTTAATTGAAATTTTGGGTAATAATTTAATTTTAGTTTATTTTGAATTGGAATTTTTGAAAAAAATTCAATTTTATTGCGATATTTTTTGAAAATTATAAACAATTGTTAAATTTTATAAAAATTTTATTTGAAAAATAATTTTGAAATAATTGAATTTGTGATGAATTTCATTAAAATTATTAAAAATAATTAATTTAATGAAGAATTATTTTAGTTCAAAATTTGTTAAATAATTGAATTGAAGAAGATCTGAAGAATATCTACATTTTATACTAAAAAAATGTATTTTATTAAAATTTTCAATTTAAAATCAAATAAAATTCAATTGTTACCCAAAATGAACTGAACGGAGGGGTACAGTACGGCCGGTAGTGGGGGAACATACGGGGACGAAAATTTGCCGCTGAGCAGGTACACGGGGATGAGTTGGCGGCGAAAAGTGGTCTGCCCCTTTATTTTGCAAATGAGGCTTCGCTTGACCTGCAAGTAAGAAGGATTAATTAATAACTCTGAGGACCCAGGTAATTATTTCTTTCTCCCTTTATCACGTGAAAAAGCTATAAAGAAAGTGTAAAACTGAATAGGTAACGCATACCTTTCTTTCTTACACCAAGAAATATTGGCGATTCAAACAGCTACACTAGCGCCACAGTTGAACTAATTTAGGCGTGACTCGCTCTAAAGCAGTCTCTATTTTGACAGTTTATTTCAAATTATTTAATTATTCTGATATTTTTATTGCGTTTGTAAAATTATTTTTAAGCGTTAAATAAAAAAAAATAATTTAAAACACATGGAGTGCTACAGAGCGAGTCACGCCTAAATTAGTTCAACTGTGGCGCTAGTGTAGCTGTTTGAATCGCCAATAACATAAGTACTTCTTTGTTTAACATTGCGTTTCTCTATCTAGATGATTGAAAATGACATAAGAACATCATCGTCTAAAATCTTAATCTTCTTCCATTTTTGTTTTAAAAATAAAAAAAAATTCATTTATATGTATATATGTATGTAGGGGAGAGTGACAAACAGTGGGACACTTTTTTTTAAAGAGATATTAATATGTCAATTTTATATATTTTTGGACACTTTTTGGTACTACCATAAAATTTCAAGTTTTTGGAACTTGATACATTTTTCTTGTTTTTAAGGTTTGTGTTAAACAGTGGGACACCTATTATTAATTATTAAATAATGAATAATTGTTTAATAATAATATTCTGCTTCATACTTTGTAAATATATATGTTTTGCATTAAATAACGTTAACAAATGTTTCAAAACACTCATAATTTCCCACACAGCACAACATCTTACACCAGGCCTACAGCAGGCTTACATGTAAGGTTTGTAAGGTAACATCGTAAGCCCATAGTAGACTTACAGTAAACCAAAAATGTCCGCCTTACAGTAAGCTTACATGGTAGGGTCGAGGTAAGCTTACATGGTAGGGTCGAGGTAAGCTTACACGGTAAGGTCGAGGTAAGCTTACACGGTAAGGTCGAGGTAAGCTTACATGGTTGGGTCGAGGTAAGCTTACATGGTAGGGTCGAGGTAAGCTTACATGGTAGGGTCGAGGTAAGCTTACACGGTAAGGTCGAGGTAAGCTTATGAGTAAAGGCTGTGGTAAGGTTATTATTAAGTTGTAAGGTTGAGGTAAGGTTGTGGTAAGCTTACAAGGTAAGGCAAGTTATATTCAAATAATAATATTAATAATAAATAAATATTCAATAAAAAAATTTTTCTTTTGCCTTATTCTATTTTGGGAACCTATCATTTCGCAGAAAGTTTTGAAAACAAATTTGGGAGGAGTAGGATTCGAACCCGGGACCGAAGTATATACCTAACAACCTAACCAACTGAGCTAAACGGGGAACTGACAATGAGAAAAGTAATCTTACTTTTAAAGTGGAACCAAGAAGATAATCAACTCCTTAAAAGCAAGATTACTTTTCTCATTGTCAGTTCCCCGTTTAGCTCAGTTGGTTAGGTTGTTAGGTATATACTTCGGTCCCGGGTTCGAATCCTACTCCTCCCAAATTTATTTTCAAAACTTTCTGCGAAATGATAGGTTCCCAAAATAGAATAAGGCAAAAGAAAAATTTTTTTATTGAATATTTATTTATTATTAATATTATTATTTGAATATAACTTGCCTTACCTTGTAAGCTTACCACAACCTTACCTCAACCTTACAACTTAATAATAACCTTACCACAGCCTTTACTCATAAGCTTACCTCGACCTTACCGTGTAAGCTTACCTCGACCCTACCATGTAAGCTTACCTCGACCCTACCATGTAAGCTTACCTCGACCCTACCATGTAAGCTTACCTCGACCTTACCGTGTAAGCTTACCTCGACCTTACCGTGTAAGCTTACCTCGACCCTACCATGTAAGCTTACCTCGACCCTACCATGTAAGCTTACTGTAAGGCGGACATTTTAGGTTTACTGTAAGTCTACTATGGGCTTACGATGTTACCTTACAAACCTTACATGTAAGCCTGCTGTAGGCCTGGTGTAAGATGTTGTGCTGTGTGGGTTAATAATAGTTTAAATTTTTATAATTTTTTATTGCATTTCATTATGTACTCCGAGTTAATCTTCATTAACAAAGGTTCTATTGGCCAAGGGTTGGTACATCTTTATTTTTCTATATAATAAATGTGAAAAAAGAAATTATTACCTGGGTCCTCAGAGTTAATCCTCATTAACAAAGGTTCTATTGTCCAATGGTTGGTTCTTTTGTGGTATTTGTTCCGGGGTTTTAATACAGGTATAAATACGTATATATGTTATTTATAATGAACTACTGATTACTCATATAAGAGTTTCCTTTTTGCACTTATTGGCTGATCAGTAGTTACTGATTTATAGTTATACTCATAGTTTTCTCATTCTTTTGGATATTTGGTAGTTTTATTGGATAAAAGGCAAAATTAATTATATTGGATTAAAGTAAAAATTGGTTATATTGAATTAAAGGAAAAATTAGATATATTTAGTAAAAGGTAAAATTAGTTGTATTAAATTAAAGAAAAAATTGGTTATATTTAATAAAAGGCAAAATTGGTTATATTAGAGAAAGTGAGCAAAACGGTTAAAGATATTTAGATTTTCATGAATCAAAAATAAAATTAAACGAAGTATAATATGGCCAACATAAAAGAGTATGTTATTTTAAGTGATAAAGATTTAAAAATTATTGAAAATAGAAATAAATTGTTAAATTACATGCATATGTACAAATTTGAAGATTTATTAAGAAAAGATTCCAATTCTTTTTTTAATATGCAAAGTGCTTTGTATGTACAAATGCTTGATTTTATTGTCCCAATTAGAGACGGTGATAAACATATTTAAATACTTTTTAGCGGTAATAACAATTATGGTCACTGAATTTATGTCTATTACTATAGAGTAAGGCTTTATATTTTTGATAGCCTTAATAAGGGGTGTTTAAATGTGCAGCAAATAAAATATTTAATTAGATTGTTCCCTTTTAAACTAACAGTAGTTTTTGAAGCTGTTGATCAACAACCTTTTGGTAGTGTTGAGTGTGGAGTACATGCAATAGCATTTGCAACATCTATATTATTTAACGTAATGCCAAACCGTGTAAATTATGAAACTGATAATAACAAAATGAGAAACCATTTTAAGTCAATGTTTGAAAATAATTGCTTAAATCATTTTCCGACAGTAAGAACGTCTCACAATAGGAATTCGATAATAGAGAATGATTAGAACCGTCTTTTCATAAATTGAACTCAGGAACATAAAAATTATATTTTAAACTATTGTTCTGTTTTTAATACTTTTCCCAGTAATAATATTAACAGAGTTCTATTAACACAAGAGTTAAAAATTAAACATTCTTTAAATGACACTAGTGAAAAGAAAATAATTCGTACAACTTATAATACTGTGAACAAAATTTTACCACATGAATATTTAACAATGAAAAATTTTCTGAGTAAAGAAAATGATAAAAAGATAAATCGAGCAATTAAAGAGAAGGGAAGAAAAAGGAAGGCAAGGCGCGAAGTTACATATTAGCAGTAAATAATAAGACAGGAGTATGAGAGATTGAGAAAACGTAATCGTAATAAAACAGAAATAAAAAAGAAAGAGCGCAAAAAAAATTTGACATGCAAAAAAAAATTATCTATAAAAACTGAAGATGGAAAGAAAATACGCAAGGATAAAAATTTGGCATGTAGGAAAAGAAATATATCAATGGAAACTCAAGATGAAAAGAAAGTGCGTCAAGAAAATAATTTGTCATGTAAGAAGAAAAAATTTTCTACGGCAACGGAAGATGAAAAGAATGTGTGAAGAAAAGAATTTGACATGTAAAAACGATAATCGGAATAAAAAAAGTGCAGGAGTTGCAATAATGTCTTTTGAAGATTTAGATGAAAGTAAAGTACCACAGAATTATTTAGGTTTAATAAATGTAGAATGTAAGTTTTGTAACGCGTTACATTTTTTGTGTGAAAGACCGTAACATAGATACATCACGGAGGAATGTCCCCGTGAAAAGGACATTATGATATCGCCTGAATGTCACAAAAATATTTCCGGTTGATATCAGCTTGACATTCAAGCAATATTCCGTGCTACTTGGGTGGTAGATCCAATATAAAGAAATTTTTTTTTACATTTCTAATATTAAATTTTTTTGAAAAAAATGAATAAAAAATATGGTTAATGCACACTAGCAACGTAGTCGGCCGCTTGCGGACGACAAAGTTGCTAGTTTAGTTATAATTTTGTAATGTATATATAAAAATTTTGAGGTTCTTATATTGATTGTCCTGAAATTTTGTAAGCTTATTGCAGTCATCAATATCTAAATTCAAACGCAAGGATTTCCAAAAATATCCACATAATTTTTTTAATTTCACTTTTTTAAAAATTCGAAAATACGTTTTTTAACCAAAAAATTTTTTACACTGTAAATTTAATTTTTTTTTGTCCAAAAAACTTATTTCTCGCATTGAAATGAATTGATTAACCTATATAAAGTCTATATTTTACTTAAAATCTAGAAATTAAATAATTTTATAATTTTTGAAAAAAATTGTTTTTCATATTTTTTGAAATAACTTTTCTCTTCATGAAAATTTTTAATAAATTAAAACAACAACAAACACTGTATATAAAGCTTACGGGTGATTCTCCGCGTAGGCGCACAACTTGCTTTTTTTCATGTTGTGAAAGAAAAATAACAAATAATGTTCACATAATATTTCGATTCCAATGTAAAAAGGTAATTTCTGTGATTACAAACAAAAACCAATAGTTACTTTTGTATTTAACATTACAATTTTTCGTGAAAAGTGGTTTTTAAGGCTGAAAACGTCAAAATTTTACCTGTCCCCACAGGATGTTTAAACAAAAAAGTTAATATTTTTAGCAATGTGTACTAATAAATACAATTACTGTTGAAATTTTAGTATTGTTTATAGTGGAATTGAAAAAAAACGTTTGATCAAAAACATAATATTTTTCTTTTTTTTTTGCTATTTATACTTGACTGTGTGTTATTCTGCGTTTTATTATTAAACATTGAATTATTTAAATAAAAGTCAAATGTTAACATAGTTCTACTTCAGTAACAGCAAAAGTTATATTCCTTAAGTTGATCCATGAAAGAAGTAATCGATTTTCTAATTGATTTATCCTTTTTTTACACATTTCAAGATTCAAATTTGTACAGGGCATCACAAAATCGTCTCCACCGGCATCCACCGACCCTTCAATATTAGTTAAAAAATAGAATATAATTAAATAATAAAGGTTAAATAAAGTGTAGTTATATTATTTTAGTCTATATATATATGTGTGAAACATATGAAACCGATTAAAAATAAATAATAATTTTCTCAGAAAAAAAAAAATTTATTAACGCCGGTTCCACCGACCTCTGCGTCTCCATCCGCCAGAGAATTTCCACCGTCACTAGTGCAAATTTAATACAATAATGAAACAAACGAAATTCAAAATTATTATATTATATAATAAAAAAATGCTTGGTCTGTCCTTCTGTCATAACTTGAAGTTGGCCTTTTCTGATTTCACGTGTTTTTTTGAATAGTAATCTTATGACGTGTCAAATTTTGACCATTCTTTTTCTCATTTTTGCCAAAGTTGTATAATTGTGTTTCCCAATTTCGGAATAAGTTTCTTTAAAATTCCAAATTCGAAAATTCGTTTACCAACGAAATTTTTTTTAAAGTTGTATATTGATTCAAAAATTGTATACAAATACAAAAAATTTATGATGAGAAAAAAGATGCGCCAGGAAATTTCGTACAAGATAGTAATTTGAAAAAAATTTATTTTTAAAAATAAATTTTTAAGGTACCAGGGGCCAACGAATACCTATTAAATATTAATTATAAAAACACAGGCCTCGAATCAACTTAAAGACACAAAAAGTCGTTTTAGTCGATTTATATACCAAAAAAAAGTGGATTTGTTTTTTATTTTAACAAAAATATTTTCCACACTGAGAAAAAAGGTTTGAGCTGACAACCAAATATTTCATTCAATATATGTGCAACTAAAATTTTTTGGTTGACACAACTAAACTTTAGTTGACAACACTCAAAGTTTGTTTCAGACGACTAAATAAGAAAATGTAAAAGAATTTGGTAGTCTCAACCAAACTTTGGTTGATGTCAACTAAAGTTTAGTTGTGTCAACCAAAAAATTTTAGTTGCACATATATTAAATGAAATATTTGGTTGTCAGCTCAAACCTTTTTTCTCAGTGCAGATTTTTAAATAACAATTTTTTTTTAATAATAATCCTTTTCGAATGGTTAAAGTTGAAATTTTTAGAAGTAATTAAATTTCAAAAGATATTGTTAATTTTCAAACAATTATTAAATTTTACAGAAATAAAATTAATTTATCAAACAATTTTTGCAAAACATTTTTTAAATTTAATTGAATTTTCAAAGATTTAAAATTGAGATTTTTGAAATTAATTGAAACTTTAAGTGTTTTGTAATTAAAATTTTAGATGATTTCACTAAAAATTTATTAGAAAATGAGGACAAAATATAATAATTTGAAAATCATTTTTAATTGAAAAATGGTTTCAGATAGTTGAATTTTCAAAGAATATTATTAAAATAGTTAAAAATAATTGAATTTCCTTAGAGTTATAATTGAAATTATTAAATTTCAAAAAAAAAATTTTCCATGGAAAATTTTAGAAATAATTAAATTTTAGATGCTTTTAAATTCAAATTATTGAAAATTCAATTAATTTTGAATTCAAATTTTTGAGAATAATAAAATTTTATTTGATTTTAATTTAAAAATTTTTGGGAAATAATTGAATTTTAATTAAAATTTTGGATAATAATTTAATTTAAGTTCATTTTTGATTGAAAATTTGGATAATTAATTTTGAATAGAAATTTTAGAAAATAATTGAATTTTATTTCATTTTAAATTGAAAACTTGGTAAATAATTAAATTGTAAATTGAAATTTTTTGATAATTATTGGATTTTTAATTGATTTTGAATTAAAATTTCGGGTAATAAATGAATTTTAGTTTATTTTGAATTGAAATTTTTAAAAAATAATTCAATTTTATTGTGATATTTTTTTTTAAATTATAAACAATTGTTAAATTTCATAAAAATTTTAATTGAAAAATAATTTTGATATAATTGAATTTGTGATGTACTTAATTAAAATTATTAAAAATAATTAAATTAGTGAAGAATCATTTTAGTTCAAAATTTGTTAAATAATTGAATTGAAGAAGATCTGAAGAAGATCTACATTTTTTATACTAAAAAAATGTATTTTATTTACATTTTTTCAAATGTAAAAAAAATGTCGCATTTTATTAAAATAAGTTGATAAAAGTCGTATTTTTGAAAAAAGTCGGAAAAAGTCGTATAATTCGAGGCCTGTAAACATATAATTTTCATTATTATTATTTAATATATAATAATATTCTAATAAATTAAATTATTATTGATAATATTAATCTTTAATTTCTTTATAACAAACAATGAAATACTCAATTTGGCGCGCTTGCGCGCATTTAATTTTGTTAGTATTTATTATAAACTATCATAGCTCCGGTAAGTTTACTATAACTTACCAAATAAATTTCTATAAATTACAGTATAAATTTACATAAATTACCGAAATAAAATTTTTAATTGTCGTTCGCGCTATATATTTTTGTAAATTACCGCGAAAATTTTCATAAATTACCGAAATTAAAATTCTTAATTGCGATTTATGCTTTACATATTTTTATGAATTATAGCCAAAATTTCTATAAATTACCGCATAAATTTCCATAAATTACCGAAATCAAAATTTTTAATTGTCGTTCGCGTTATATATATTTTTGTGAATTACACCAAAAATTTCCATAAACATTTTAAATCAAGTTTCAACTATTTTAAATAGAATTCAAAAAGCAAAGAATTTTTTTTTAATTTGTTTAAAAAAAAATTAAAAAATTATAAAAAAACTTTCCGGCCCACCATGGATATTTATATTTCTTGACATTTTATTTTCAAAAATATGTATTGATATTTATCATTTCGATAAAAAAATATTTTTAAAGTTTCAGGCACCAAATCGTGCGCTATGCGGAGAATCACCCTTACATTTTATCAATATTTATAAAATTGATCGCTATTTTTATTTTTAACAAAAAGTTGAAATTTTGAATTTTTTTTAAAAACTAATAATATAAGTGTTTATCATGATGAGGAAGCTAAATGATCATACAGTTTTAAAAATAAAATTTTAATTTTTAAATTGCAAAAAATATAGTAAATTATTTTTCTCGAATTTAATTTTAACATTTATTGCATCAATAAAAATATTAAATGTTATGAAAATAAAATTAAGAAATGCCAATTTATTTAAAAAATAGGGTTTAAGCATAAAATAATATAAAAATTCGATTTCCTTGTAAATTTCTTGAACGTATTCTTTCCCTTTTGCTTTTTTTTTTGAAATTTATTTAATTTAATTGATTTTTATTTTTATTGAATAAACCAAATCTGTCGTTCAATTAACTAAATACTTGATTAATTAGATATCAAAAAATTTATTTGAAAAATTAATTGAAAAAAGGAAAAAAATCATAATTTTAGGTATTATTATTATTATTTTGGTATAATAGTATCTATATTAGTAAGAAATACAAATTAAATTATTTACCAAACTTAAAATCACTTAATAATAATTGTAAAAAATTTTTTTGAAAAATCTAATCTCACCTGCAATGTGCCAATCGTCTTCATTGGAGGAAGAATTTTTTTTTTCTTTCGATATTTCTCTCTTTTCACAAAAATAATGTTCCATTAATTCACATCCCCAAATATTTTTTGTAGGTCCAAAAAATGAATCAACAGTTCCACATCCCATGGCAAATTGATCTAAATTTGTTTTTCCTATTAAAATTGCCCCCGATTTTTTTAACCGGCTACACACAGTGGCATCATAACCCGGTATAAAATTCGCCAACATTAAAGAACCACATGTTGTTAAATGATCTTGAGTACAAAAATTATCTTTTATTGCAATTGGTATTCCATAAAGATCATTTGAAATATCTTTATTTTTCAATTTTTCATTTTGTTGATTATTTCCAAATTCTTTATTCTCATCCAATTTTGAGGTTAGGCTAATGTAGGCATTCAATGATTTAACAGAATCTATTAATTTTAGCGAAGAATTTAAAATATCTGATGGATTTATTTCACCTGTATTTATTTTTTTACTCACTTCTTTAATAGGAGAAAATAATATTTTATTCATTTTTAAAACAAAAATTAAAAATAATATTTATATATAGGAAAATGATATTAAACAAAATGCGATAATCAATTATTAAATGTTATAAACTACTTTTAAATGTTATTTTATAAAAACTATAAAACACATAATTATTTATTTCAATGAAAGAAAATGATATTAAACACGTTGTTTACCTTTTTTTTTTTTTGGTTAAAAAAAAATCGTCTGCTAAGAGAGCTTGCAATTTCCACCATACGGTCGATAATAACGCTGTGATCGCTTTAAACAGCTGTCTGTAAATATGGCGACGCTTGTCAGTCAATGACAATTCAATGTTCATAATTATTATATTTACAAGTTTAATATAATAAAAAAAATAAACGTCACCAAAGTGATATTTTTTTGTGATATTTACAAAAGAAAACCAGTGAATAAGTTTACAAAAATTTTGTAATATACTTTCCATAATATGTGTTTCTTTGTATTTTATTATTTTTACAAATATTTCTCCTTCGATTTATTTAATACAGTTTTTTAAAACGATAAGCATTTTTCTTTTTGAATATGATCATTGTGATAAAAGTTATTATCAATAGAATTATTTTATAAAATATTATTATAGTTTAACAACAACAACAAAAATAGTATTTCACATATATTTCTTGTCATTCTCATTGAAAATATAAAAAGGTATAAGTTTCAATAAAAGTCAATGACATGGTATCGTGCGACGAAACGAAACTTGAACTTGTGCCAGTTAAAGGTAAAGGAGGCGGAAAGGAAGAATCAGTTGTTTTTGTTGAACAATTTGTCAAAGAAGTGCGTGATTTTAGTTCACAATATGGAAGCAATATTAGTATATCATATACAGCTTACAATATTGCCGGTAATCCAAGTAAATTTCCAGATTATGGAGATTTTCCTCAAGCTTTTGTTATGGTAGGTGCAATATATGTACCTATATGAGGTATTCTTTGGGTAAAAAGAAAACCCAACAAAAATTTTATATTATTAGATTTGCTAAATTACTTCAGTAAATTGTTGTTCTACATAACAGTAACAAATCATTAAAATATTAGCTCATTTAAAAAAATAATTGGAGAAATTAGTAGGGATTGAAATTTTGACAATTTAAATAACAAAATAAATAACAAAAATGTAGAGTTTTCAGACTTCGAAGTGACACACTTTTTTACTTTTTTGATACTTTTTTCGACAAGGCTACTTTTTTTTACTACTAATTTTGGCCAAAAGCCATTAAATGCTACTTTTTTCAAAAAATAATTTTAAAAATGACAAAATTCAAGAATTTTTAATTTTAACGAATTTTTTGATTCCTAAAAGCTCACCAAGTTGATGATTTATTATTGTCCGCTTGAATTACTGCTTTATATAATTATTTTTTACACGAATTTTCATTTTTCAAAATAGTATTTAACATAATTTCTTTTTAAACGACATTTTACTCAATAGAATTTTTAATTTGGCAAATTTTTTTGAACAGAATTTTTATTTTACAAAATTTCTCTTTACCCAACTGTTGTTTTTTTTTTTTTTTTTAATAATTCTAATTTAACCGAAATTCAGACAATAATTGTACTTTAGAGCATTTTAAATAAAAAAATATTTTAAATAATTGAAATGCCAAGATCTTGATTAAAGTAATTAGAAATAATTATTTCAACAAAAAATTTGAATCAAAATTTTTAATAATAATTGAATTTTGGAAGAGTTCGAGTTGAGATTTTTAGAAATAATTGAATTTTTGGAGATTTTGAATTAAAATTGTTGTTTTAAAATACTAAATATTTTATAGAAGCTTCCGATTCCAAGTTCTGGGATTTAAAAATTTTAATTACTTAAAATTCTGCGGAATGAGAGAATTCTAATAAATTAAAAATAGGTTAAATTAGAATTTTTTTTAAGAAACAGTTGGGTAATGAGAAATTTTGTAAAATAAAAATTCTGCCAAATAAAAATTCGGTACTTTGAAAATTCCGTTTGAGTAAACATTCGTTTAAAAAAATTCTGTATTAAATGCTATTTTGTAAAATAAAAATTTATGTGAAAAATCATTTTTATGGAATAATTATACACTCCTACCATTGTGCCAAAAACAAAAAGTTTATCGAAATTTAACAATAGATAGTTTTTTTTTTAAATAATCAGGAGAAAAATAGCGGCTGAGAAAAATGATGTTAATTTTATTTCTCAGAATTTTTCCTTCAATTTTTTTAGACAAGAGAATATTTACACTTTAACGTCAAACTTAGAAAACTAATTTTACTTTATTTTAAAGATGACACTTTTTTGATACTTTTTTTCAATTTTAGGGGATAATTTTTTTTTTTATTAAATAATACTTTTCATACATTTCTTAGTCTCTTACTACGCTTCGAAGACTGAGTTTTCAATGCCAAAAAAAGTTTTTTCAATAAAAATTTGTATGTCCATTTTTTTAAAATTAACCCTTACTTTTTGTTTTTAACCCTTTTTTCTCCATTTAAAATTCTTTTCGTTATTTTCATTGAAAATCTGGAGGTCTTTTCCAATAAATTATGTAAATATAAAAAATAGGACAGCAATGGGTTTGAGAGTAAATGTAAAAAAGAAAAAAAATTTTTTCAATGAAAATAACAATACAATTTTTAAATAGGGGCAAAGGGGACAAATATTAAAAACAAGAGTTAACTTTGAAAAAATGGGGTTAACAAATTTATTTATTTTTTTTTCAAAACTTATTTTGGGTTTGAAAAATACATAAAAAGTGCTTTAAAAAACCCTATTTACAAATTAAAATCCATAAATTTTTTTTAGAGTTATACAAATTTGAATGTAACAGTATTATTTAAAATTTCAAATAAAACAGATTTTCAATCCAATTTTTTTCAAAGTTAATCCATATTTTTTATTTGTGACCCCATTGCCCCTATTTAAAATTTTTTTTTTGTTATTTTTATTGAAAAATTGAGATTTTTTCCAACCAACTATGTACTTACCAACAACAATGAGTTTGCGAGAAAATGTGAAAAATAAAGCGAAAAAAAATTTTGTTTTTAGATGATATCACAAACTCATTGTTGTCCCATTTTTATATTTACACAGTTTAATTTAATTTAATATGGAGAAATATAAAAAAAAATCACAATTTCGAAAAAATAAGTGTTTATTCAGAAACAATGGAATTAAAATTTATATTTTATTTTTTATATTTATTTATTTTATAAATTGTTTTTGATATTGAAAATTACATGAAAAATGCTTTATAAAACTGTATTTACAAATTAAAATCCATAAAGTTTTATAATTGTTTTTACGGATTTCAAAGTAACTGTGTTTTTGAAAATGCAAATATTTCAATCCCCACGATTATCTTTAATTTTTTTAAAAATATTTTTGGTATTTATTACTCTAGAGTAAAACAACAATTTTCCAAAGTATTACCTCTCTCCAATAACATTAAATTTGGTGTGGCTTTTTTCTTAGAGAATGCTATATATATTATATTTAGAAAAAAAATCGATAAAAGTAATAAATAAGAATAAAAAAATAAATTTTTATCTATATTTATTAAACAAATTTTTTTTTATTTTGTTCGTACCTAATTAATATTTAATTTTCTTTAATAATAAAAATATTTTAGGCAAGTTTTTTTAAAAACTTTCTTTGTTTTGTTTAATTTATCTTTGTAATTGTGATTTCAGTTTAATAAACCACAAGTTATAATAATAAATAAATAATAATATATTTTTAATGTGAGTCCTAAATTTTTTCTAAAAACACTAAAAATTCAGGATTCACATGAATAACAAAAAAGAAGTCAAATTTCATAATATTTTTTTTTAATAAAAATATTTTATTTGAAAAACTTTGTCCTTTTAAAATTTAATTTCTGTATTGTAAATAACGAATAAAAACAATTTACTTAGAAAAAAAGACTGGACATGAGTTAAAATTATTGTATTAATTAAATAAATAAATAAAATTATAAATAAAAATATTGAAAAAAAAATTTTTTTTTTACGAATATATAAGAGTGATTTTATTGAATTTTATTTATATCTTTTTTTCTTTCTTTTGTGTAGAGAACCTACGGACAATGGTGGGACGAAGCGCCATCAAAATTGACTGATTATATGCCACAAAACAACGAATCACCAGTTAGTCATGATTATATAGGTTTGTATATTGAAGGCAAATTGTGTCTTTTATTTAAATATAATAAGATTAAAAGAATGATATATAAATATGTAAATTCTTTTCTTTTCTCTGCAGATGTTGAATATTATCAAGAAGTATATCCGATTAGAATTTCTGTATATGAGACCTATAATCCAGGAAGTGTTGTTAGAATCTGGGCTCGAGATGGTAGCGGACAATGGTTTCAATTGTGGAGTGGACCTCCACAAGTTGTACCACCAAAGCCCCGTATATTCTCACCGCCATTGCAGCTATGTAATTTCAAAACAAAGATGCTGAGATTGGAATTCAATCATAGCCTCTTGGATTATTATACTGAACTCGATGCTGTACTATTGATTGGTACAACTGAATTAATTCTTCCACATGTTGGCTTTCAAAATCGTAGTCTCAGTATTCTATTACGTGAATTGGGTGGCACTGGCTCTAATAAAGAAGATTGTCTTAATCTAACGCCTGATTATTTAAAAGCCAATCACGATTTAAAGGCACTCAAAAATAGTTTACACAAACATTGTGTTCTTTACAAGAGGTATTGATATCTATTTTTACCTTTCAAAAAAATTTGTTGTATTTTTAAAAATTCAGTTATAACTTTAAAAAACAATGTTCCAAAATTTATTAAAATAATTAGTTTAATTTACTTACATTAATTGTTAATTATATAAAAAATAGTTCAAAATATTTCTTTCATAAGAGCGATATTTTCACGTAAAAATAATCTATTGTATTAATTTTCTAAATTTTTGTTTCCAGCAAAGTTACCGATAAACTTCCTAAAGGAAAATTAGCAGCTAAACTTGGATTACATTGTCATTATGTTCCACCAATAGAAGAAGCCTTCAATAGTTTACAACATTTTTTACAAGAAGAATTTCCAAAGTTAATAAGAGAAATAAATCGCTCTTCTATAAATTCTATTGCAGCTGACAGTGATTTTGCACCTTGTTCAAGTAACGTTGATCACAAGACTTGTGGCAGCTTTTCTGTTCTTCCCGTAAGTTTTATTTTTTTTAAACTATAAATTAATAATAATCGAAAGTTTAGATTCGATAAAAAAAAAAATTCTTACTACAAATTGACATTTTTATATCAACAATTTCTTTAGCAATCAAAAGAAAAAGAATTTTATTTTCCATATATTTTGTTATATTATTTAAAAGTGCGCCAAAAGTTATTTAGACTTTAAAGAAAATTATTAAAATTATGAATAATTTTTTAATTTGCAAATTTATTTGTTCTTCTAAATGTTAGGAAGTAATGAATATTTTTTTTTGTTTTTGCCTTTCTGACAGGATGAAACTGTATTGAAGATATTGAAAAACTTGGATCTTCGATCTCTTGTTCAATGTTGTAAAGTGAACAAACACTTTAACAATATTGCAAGAGATGCTTTACTTTACACTAGTCTGAATTTGAAACCTTATTGGTATTGTATAGACGCAATTGCATTACAAAATCTAGCGCCTAGATGTCAGTATTTACAACGATTGGACCTTTCCTGGTGTGGAAATTACGATGCCATTAGTAGTCAAGATTTAGTTGATTTTCTACAAAACTGCGGTAATCTTATAACTCACCTTCGTCTCAATTGCTGTCGATTTGTGAATGATTTTGTCGTACGTGAAATAGCACGAATCTGCAAAAATCTCAAAGGTAAATTTCAAATTTTAATCAATAAGAAAATAAATAACAACTATTATCTTCTTTTGAAAATTTCAATTTAAATTATTGTTAGTTTGTTAAAAATTGACAATTTGAAATTAAAATTATCAAAAAGAGAAAATAAAAATAAAAATCGTAAATTTTATTTAATACTTTCTTTTACAAGAATTGTGCCTGAGAAATTGTACTGAAATTACTAACAATGGATTCGCGGAACTTGGAAGTTTGCAAGCACTTGAAAGACTGGAATTATATAGAACTAATATTGAGACAAATAATTTGTGTACAATTCTACGTAAAAATCCAAATATTCGTCATTTGAATTTAGCAGGAATGCACGATCGTTTAAATATGGATAAAGTAGCAATTGAAATAGCCAATTCATGTATAAATTTGGAAAGTATTGATTTTTGGAAGGCACAAACTCTCACACCACAAGGAGTTCGAGCTTTAACACGTTGCGTTCATCTTCGTGAAGTGGATTTTGGTTGGTGGTAAGTGTCAATTGCAGAACAAACAAAAACTTTAATTCAAACTCTTCTAAAGTTTAAAAATGAGTTTATGCAAAAATAAATAAATTCTCAAAAAGAATGTATAATGAAAACAAACAATAAGTATAAAAATCAGTTTTTCGACCACAATTTTTTATGAATTAACAAAAAATAATAAAAAACATCATTCTTTTTTAACGTTTCGGAATCTAACCAACTTCCTCTTCGAAATTTATTCTAAAATGAAAAATATCTTCTTATAATTTTAACATATAAAGAGGGGGAAAAAAAATTAAAATCTTTTACAAAAATAAATAATTTCTATAAAAATGAAAAACTTACCAACATTACAAACAAAAATGAAATTTAAACATTTCTGATCTCACTAGAAATGTAAGAGAGAAACCAAAATGAAAATTATAAAGAACATGTTTGAATTGAATCTAAAAAAATAATTTTTTTTTTAATAATGTTAAAACATCCAACAAAAAAAAACTATTTAAAGTTGAGTCACTTCTACAATATCTAAATGTTAAGTTTCAATAATTATTTTAATTTTATGAGAAATATTTTATGGTATGGAATAGAAATGACTGTGAAAAAATTCTAGTTTTAATATTATTTTTTAGACGAATTTTCAATTATTGAATTAAAATTTGACATATTTTCTTTTTATACAAACTTTTTAGCTACCGAATTTTTTTTTAAAGTCATTTTTTTTACATGAATTTTTAAATAAAAGAATTTTAATTTAACATAATTCTCATGCAATCGAATTTTTAAAAGACAAAAATTCCACCTCACCGAATTTTCATTTGTCCGAAATTACAAATAACCAAATAAACAATCGACAGAAAGATTTCGGAGCAATTTTTAAAATTGACCAATTAGAAATTATCAAGAAAATCGTGATTGGCCAATTTTTAAAATTGCACCGAAATCTTTCTTGTCGATTGTTTATTCGGTCATTTGTAATTTCGGAGAAATGAAAATTCGGCGTCTTAAAAATTTTATCAATTAAAAATTCGTACAAATAAACATTCCGACAAATTAAAATTCGGTAAATTGGAATTTCTGTCATTTAATTAAATTTGAATCACATAAAATTCTGTTAAATTAAAATTCTTTTGAATAAAAAGTCATATAATGAAAATGACTAAAATAAAAATTTTGCCAAACAAAAATTCGGTAGCTCAAAATTTTAAGTAAAAATTCATATAAAAAAAAATTCTGTCAAATACAAAATCGAAAAATGAAAATTCGTTTAAAAAATAATTATTTTTAATAAAATTCTTTAAAATCGTTTCATTAATGTTTCTTATTTATTTTTTTTTAATTAATAAATTGTTAAATTGTGATCGAAAAACTGATTTTTATATCAAGATTGTGAGAACGTTATTTATTAATAAAAAATACGTCTTTTTTTTAAATAGCAGTGGAATGGGAGTAGCAGGCGACTCATTGAGAGCTTTCTTTACATCATGTCGACAACTTGAAAAAGTCTTTTTAACAGCACTAAGAGGTCTCACTGATCGCGATATTGAACCTTTACTTTTATGTCAACAACTTCAACAATTGGATGTTATGGCTGCACGTTCCCTGAGTCATGATATATTTTTACGATTTCTTCTCTGTTGTCCTGAATTAAAAATGATGGACCTCAGTTTTTGTGATGGAATTAGTGACGTTAAAGTTCAAGAATGGCGTCAACTTTATCCCCATGTTTCGATTAAAAAAAGTTTTCAAGCAAGATTCTATTTCTCGTGAAAAAATTCTAGATATCTTAGTTTTTTATTATAAAACAACAAATTTACAAAATCATACAAAGTCTGAATATAATGTAGGACACTAAAAAGAACAAAGACTCACAAAAAAAAAAAATTATTATATGTAGTTGTTTTTAAATATTATTTCGAGTTTTTCTCGCTAAATTGTATTAATTTCATTCCAAAAGAATTTGTACATTGCATGTTGTTCAAAAAATCAAATTGTTTTTATTTCCTTGGATTTAAAAAAAAAAAATTAATTTATGTACTATAATTTATTTACAAAATTGTGTTAAAAAATAATTTGATAAAATCAACTGTTGTACACTAGCTTTAATTGTAATTGTCGTGAAGCAAATTTTTTACATTTATATGGATATATATAAAAAAAAAAAATAAGGAAAATTTGTATGTATATTAAAGAATGATTTGCGTGATAAAAAAATGGTGTTAATTATTTATAGTTGATTTTAATTTTCTTGTACAAGTTATAAGAAAATCAAAATTATGAAAAAGAAGAGAATATTTATTTTTAGTGTTTCTACAAAAAAAATTAATATTTTTAATCATATTCTATTTAAAAAAAAAAAAAAAGTTATTGAAAAAAGAACAAATTTAATAATAAAATTTTACTTAATTCTATAATAAAACTATTGTAAAGATACAATTTTTTTTTCTTATTTCTGATTAAATCGAAGAGATTTTAATTTGTTATAAGCCGCATCTGACAATTGTGAGGCATGACCACTACGAAATTTCGGTTCAACATTCTTAATATCATTAAAATTTTGTGTCCGATTATAATCATAATTATTAGTGATAATCTTCCGTGTTGGCACAAATTTTAAAGCTTCTTCCCATTTGTTTGTATTTTTAATGCTTAACATTATATCTGTGCAATGATTTATATTTAAACTTTTATTACTGCCAGAATTAAAGTCCAAATAGTTGTCCAAGGGAAATTTTGCTATCTGAATACCTTCCTCTTTTGCTTTCGCTAATGTCAGTGGTTTACTGTGAGCCTAAAAAAAAAATTTTTTTTCTTTTATTTCATCCGTTTTTTTCGACAATATATTTTTTTTAAATGTTTATTAAATAGAAATTTTATTTTACTTAAAAACTGACATTTTACTTACTTTGTCAACTATAGCGCCAATAATATAAATTTTATCAGGAATAAAATTGCTCATAACATTGTTTGTATGTGGTGTTAAATAAATTAAATCTTTTTTTGGAAAAAGTTCAAGATATGATTTCGTTGTATATGTTAATGGAAAACCAGGTTCATTCATAGTGGGTAGAAAACTATAAATTCTTTTTATTAGTTCACCTTTTAAATCAATATTACACAAAATAATATCAAATGGATCGATATTCTCTCGATTTTTTCCAAATGAAAACATAAATTGTTTTGCACAACTTGATATTTCAGTAGTAGTCATATGTGATTCAAATCCACAGTCAAATACTAATTTTTCACCAAACATCATGGCGCTTATTAATTTGGAATTAAAAAAATGACTCATTTTAGTTCTATAGACACGATGAAACATTGTATTATTATTTAAACCATATCTCAAATGATGTGATTCTTCATTGATTTTTTTCAATATTAAGGCCTGCTTCGATAGTGTATTTTCCCTTCTCTTTAATTTGTCATTTAATTTCTTTATTTCATTTATCCAGAGAAATTCTAAATACAGTCTATAATAAAAAACAAAAATCTTAAATTAATTTTCAAGCGTTTCAATGATATTATAAAAAATATCTTTAAAAAAAATTGTTATTTTTTTCTTGCATTTTCATCAATTTTGGAGGAAAAAAAAAGTTTTTTGTGCTGAAAAAAATTTTATAAACAGTTACACATTACAAAGATACAAAAAATAAGAAAATTCAAAATTTTTTTTTTTAAAAAATTGCAATTAATTTTTCTTACAATTCTTCGTAAAGTTTAATTGTTTATACAAATTTTTTAAGAACAAAAAACTTTTTTTCTTGTAACTTGTATATTTTTATAAATTAATTTGTATGCAATATTAATGAAACAAACGAAAATGTGAAAAAATGACAATTTTTTTTTACATTTTTGCAATTTAATTAATAATTTAATTAAAAAAATATGGTAAAAATTAGTTTTTTATCGTTGTATTAAATATTACATTTTCAACTTTAGTTAAAATATTAAAAGAAAAGAACCTAAAATTTAAAATAAAACAATTACTATTTTTTTTTTTTTTTATAAAGAACAAACCTTCTACGATTTTGAGATTTAATTTTTAAAATTTGTAACCAGTGTGTCGGTCTTATTGTACTTGGAACTTTTGCTCCACTTTGACGTAATAAATCTATTTCAAGTTCTATAACGTTAAAAAATGTTTTATTCTCCACATCTAATGCTAATAATTTGTCGAGTTTCTTTTGTGCTTCTGCTTGTATTTCTCTTTGTACTTGAACACTTGGATTTTTTTGTGAATTTTCATCAAATTCATCTTCAAATTCTGCGAATGTTGTTTTTGTACAAAAACACTTTGTTATTATATTACAAGTAAATGCATTTAATGAAATTTTCGATATCACAGGTGAAGCAGTCATTAATAAATTGTTATTAACAATATTTGCTGTATTTAACAAAACACTACTGTTAAATTGTTTTGTTACTGTTATAAAAAGTCTGTGTGTATGTTTATACATTTTTAATATGTTCAACAAAACACAAATCACATATGAAAATAATCACTTATAATTGTATTATTTATCATTAGTAAAAATTCAATATTCAAACATTGGTATATTCTGTAGAGGTTAGGTTTTTAAAACATTGTATTTTATATGATTATAAACGATACTATTTTAAAATGCATATAACGATAATCAAAATTACATAATTATAAAACAAAATAACAAAAAATTCTATTTTATTAAGTAGTTAAATTAATTATCTTTAAATTTTTTTATAACTCCGATTTTTTTTTAAAAACACATGTGGTCCGTAGAGACCCAAACTTGATTTAGTGAGTACATGCAGAATGTGCGGAATTCTCTAAAATAATTTATAAAAACAATTTTATTTTATCATTTAATAATTCTTGGCAACATATTAACAAATTATTTTTCTGATAAATCATAAATTTATGTATTTATATGATTTATTTGAAAGTTTTAATTTTGTAAAATTTGTTTTGTACTTGATTTCAGCGGTAATAATTTAAATTCTAAGGCGGGAATATGTAAATTCTGAAAACAAACAAATTTATAACTTTAATTCATACAGTTTGAACATTATTATATTTAATATTAATTATAAAAAAAAATTTCCTATAATAGTAAAAAATATATATTTTAGAAAAAAAATTATAGTATTTTGCTAGACCAATCAAAATGCATTGTTAAAATACAAGCAAAGAAGCAAGTAACGATACAGATTTCTCTAGAAGAGAAAGAAGAACTAAAAGCCCTGACCTGCGCAGACTTGTTTTGAGCAGCTGTGTTGCTGTCATAAAAATATAACATTACAGTAATTATTTATACGTATAGGAAATATTTTGCAAAGTAATTGCTTTTGTAAATATGTTCATTTATTTATTTAGAAATAATATTCTTTTGAAAATTTTATTATTATTTACATGAATATAATATATTTATATTATGATCATTGATTGTAAAGTTTTAAATAATATAATTAAATAACTTTTTGTTTTTTAAAAAAAAATTAAATTGTTTTGTGTATCAGTTTTATTGATAATATTTAAAGCAAAATAAAAAATATGGATGAATTTTCACCTGATTTAAAAACTATTTTTAATGAAATGAGCAAACTACGAAAGGTGAGTTATTATTGTAACTAATTAAGTAGATAATTATTTGAGGATCATTTTTCGTTTTTTTTTTTTTTATAGAATTAAAATATGACCTTTGCATTTATTATATATTATAAACATTATCTGATGTTCATTTATTTTCACATTTTGTAAACATAAGGTAGAATTTTAACGTTTTTTCTAACCTATATTTATATTAGATTCTTTTTTGTTATACTTTCATTTATATACATGAGATATAAATATAATTTAAATAAACAAAAATACTAAAATTAAAAATCTCATTTTTAAAATTAATTTCTTCTTTTTTTGAATTATTAAAAAAAAATTTACCTATTTTTTATTTTACAATATATGTATCATGTATATATAGGCGTTTGTGAATTTGAAAATTGAACATTCAGCACTTTTTAAACAATCAGAGAAGCAAAAAGTACAATTAGAGAAATCGAAAAATCGTTGCCAAAAATTGATGGATTTATTTACTGCAAAATATAAAATCATGATGGAAAACAGTTCATGTTTAAATAGTGAATTAAAATATTTAAGACAAGTTACAGAAGACTTACAATCACAACTTACGAGTCAAACAACTGAATTACAAAATAAAGAAAATCTCTGTAAGTATTTACATTATATTTTTTTTTTTTTGTTTACAAAAAATAAAATAAAAACATTTTATTTAATTGGTTTAAAAATAATTTTCCAAAATATAATGAAAATTTGTTTTATTTATGATGCTAAAGTCAACAATGTTTTCGATTAACAATTAGAAAACATGCGTTATTTAGTTGAAAAATTATAAAATAAATTTTCTAAAACTATATTTTTTATAATTTATAATTTTGAAAATCACTGAAAAAATATTTTAGTTTTATAATAATTTAAAAAAAAAAATTTATTTTATTTTCCTTAATAGTTGCTAATTTAGAAGAAGAGATGGAAATTTTAAGATCACGATTTGATTTACAAACTGATGAACACAAGAAAAACATAGAAACTATATTAGATCGGAATCGTATTGAAAAAAATCGAGAAATTTCACAATATCAAGAGAAATTAGATTTGGCCAATGCTGAGGTAATTTAACAAATTATTTTTTTTCAGTCAACATTACTTGTTGTATTTGAATCAATTTTCTTTTATATATTAATTTCCAAAATTAAACTCTCATGATTAAAAAAAAATCTAGAAGATTTTTATACAAACATTTATCCAAATTTACTATGATATTCATGACTAAAAATTATCTAAATCAAAAATTTCTCAAATGAATTGTCCCAAATTAAAAAAAAAAAATTAAAAAATTGATTTATGTTTGATAATTAAATTTTTTAATTTTAGGTGATCCATTTGAGAAATTTTAAACAATGTGTAAAATTTTTAAAAAATTGTTTTATGAACTTAGCTATTAAAAAATGTTGTCTAATAGTTTAATTTAATTTTTTTAAGATTTTAAAATTGAAAGAAAGATTAAATTATGAAATTGAAGCAAAAAATAAAACAAGAAGATCATCAACTAATTATCATCCTGCCTTAAGTGATGACTGTGAAAATGATACTCCTATTAAAGGAAAATATTCAATTAAAAAAAGAAAAAGTATGGATAATAGGTAAATTTACTTTTTTTTCTATTCAAACTTTGTAGAAATTTAGGGTTCGGAGTGTATGACTTTTTCTACATTTTTGTTTTTATAAATTCAACTTTTTTTAACTTTTATAATATAAAATGTAAATTTTTTCGACGTCTTAAATTTAATCCGAAGCCTGAAAGTTAGAAAACACAAAATAAAGTTGATGTTGATTTTTATACATGCATGATAAATTTTTTTTTTTAGGTGGCCTAAATTAAATATTACATCAACAAAAGCGGAGGAAACCCCTTTAACTCCAGAACAACCGATAAAAAGAAAAAAACTCTTTTTACTTGATAATGATACTATTGTGGATTTGGAAACACCATAAACATTCTGTTTTTACATATATAATAATGATATTTTAAATGTTACCAATACCAAAAGGAATCAAGTTAACAATTTTAATTTTACTAGTGCCGAATATTTAAAAGCTAGTAATAAATATTAAAACTTTGAAATAATGCATATCATTTATAATGAATTAAGATTATAATTTTAAAAACATTTTTTCAAAGTATCGTTAACTTGCATTTGGCCAATCAAAGTATTATGTAAATTTTAAGTGTTAACTTTTAAGAAATATTGTATTATTTAATACGTTACATAATATATTTTTTATATAACGAAATTGTTTATTATATATATATATATATATATTTATTAATTAGAAAATTCCATTTTATACTTAATATAATATAATAATAATTATTGCAAAAAAAATAATTACCGTATTTAATAATAATAAATTAGTAGCGTCATTTATGAGAAAATTCTACGTGAACTGGCACAAAGAATATTTGATGATTCGCGAAAATTTTAATGAAACTAACAATATTTTTTTATTAAGTAGTCGAAATTTTTTTTATGAAATTCATGTTTTTCTATTCATAGAGTAAATAAAAAATATAAGTTAAACAGTTTTTTAAAATTTGAAGATTTATACAAGTTATTGTTATATAAACATTTCTGTTATTGATTTAAAAATTTTTTCTTTGTCTATTAATTTTGAAAATCACTTTTTCTAGCGCTTGGCATTATTGTTTTAAATTAACACCGCTTTCGATTAATATTTTTCATTTTTTAAAAATATAAACAATTTATTTGAACAAATAAAAATTAATCTAACTTCTCCCTCGGTTAACCTATTAACGCCGAAAACCAGAAAATTTTTTGAACACTTTCAACCTAAGTTATTATTAATAAAACGGTCAATTTTATTACCAGAGGTACGTTTCCCGTAGGTCTTAAGTGTGCTTTTTCCAATTCCGGTGTCAAAAATCAATTTTGTTCAAGCCATAATTAAATATGGCGGTTTTATTATCAAAAAAAACTAAAAAATTCATTTTTTCAAGTTTAGCAATTTTTTTTACTCTGAAACAGTGTGAGAATAAAATTCCATTCTCAACTATAGGTGTATAAAAATGGTATACTTTCGAGAAACGTAAAGTAAAATTAAAAATTTCAAGATGGCCGACCAATATGGCGTCAAATATAAAGTAAAATGCGAAAGTTTTGATCAATATGTGCCAAACTGACCTAATGTCATTGAATTTGCATGAATTTTACAAATTGAGGGTTTTTGGGGTCGCTGATTACCAATCCGATGTTAGTTTTCAAAAATTCAAAATGGCGGATTTAATATGGAAAAATTTGTCTGACATTTTGGATCCCCGATTTTGAATTTGTAAAAACGAAGTTCAGATTCGTAATAAGCAACCACGAAAATCCCCGAGTAACAAGTTTTGTGTAAATCTGATGCAATTGAAGAAACATGTCTGCCATTTTGGAGACGCCATTTGAAATTTTTGAAAACAAAATTCAGATTGGTAATCAGCGACCCTGAAAATCCCCGAGTAACTAATTTCAAGCGAATTGCATTAAATTTTCAAAAAGTCCTCCGCCATTTTAGATCCGCCATTTTGAATTTTTGAAAACGAAGTTCAGATTCGTAATCAGCGACCCCGAAAACCCGCGAGTAATAAATTTCAAGCGAATTGCATTGTATTTTCAAAAAGTCGTTCTCCATATTAAATCCGCCATTTTGAATTTTTGAAAACTAACATCGGATTGGTAATCAGCGACACATTTTACTTTATATTTGACGCCATATTGATCCGCCATCTTGAAATTTTTAATTTTACTTTACGTTTCTCGAAAGTATACCATTTTTATGCACCTATAGTTGAAAATAGAATTTTATTCTCACACTGTTTCAGGGTAAAAAAAATTGCTAAACTTGAAAAAATGAATTTTTTTTGTGTTTTTTGATAATAAAACCGCCATATTTAATTATGGCTTAAACAAAATTGTTTTTTGACACCGGAATTGGAAAGAGCACACTTAAGACCTACGGGAAACGTAACCCTGGTAAAAAATATTGACAGTTTTATTAATAATAGCTTAGGTTGAAAGTATACAAAAAATTTTCTGGTTTTCGGCGTTAATGGGTTAATGAAAAAAAAATTGTCGATGAAAAATAGTAAAAATTTTTATAAAAAGTAGAATTTAAAAATGATCAACTGTTAAATATTTACAATTAAAAATTTACCCTTAAGGACGTTAGTTTTTTTTATTAAAAAATAATTCTTTACCATTTATAGAATTGTTGGTTTTTTTTTTGTTAGAAATTTTATTTTTCGAAAATAATTGAATTTTTTATTAAATCATAGGATTTTTTTTTATTATCGGGTAAATAAATTGGCACTCGCACAATCAACGTAAATTTTGATGAGAATGAAATTTCATACTAATCTCTCATTTTAAAAATAATAATTATTCTGGAATAATTCTGCGCAAGTATAATAATTATAATAATATCATCAGATATCCAATCCATTAAGGAAAATAAGAGATCGTTTAACATTGATTTCAATTAAATATATAATATTGAATTTTCGATAGAAAAATTTATTTCTTAATTACATTATAGTAAAAATGAAAATTTGTCATTGACATTTTTTTTTATATAAACAATTAACTAATTAATTAAAAATAAAAAATATCATTTTGGTATACACATAATTAACTTTATAAATAATATTAAAACGAACTTGTAAATTCAATGCATTGAAATGTATTGAAATATAAAAACTATAAATAAAGTTTTCTTTGTTAGAGGTATAAAGATTTTTTTTTGTACAAGTGTAGGGATTGGAGTGTCTATTAGATAGAAGATCGGAAAGAGGATTCGAGTGATGTTCCAAAGGATCTCTCATTAATTACAAAATCACGACGCCCACCGTTGTTAAGAGTGTGTTGCTTCGAAACCCCACGAGTTCTGTCCTCATTTGCTAATCTTGCGATGCAGTGAGTTCCAGCTATTTGTGTAATCGATCTTGAGATGTCCGTATGTATTTAATCCGAGGCGAGTTGGCGGTATCACTTCTATGTATCTTTTGTCCTCGACCTTCGTTTTCCTCGGGGGTATCATCACTTTAAAATTACGTGGCGCTTCAACTGATGCTGCGAAACCATGATAGAAGCACTCGTCTCTGTTAAATAAAATACAAAATTCAGAATTAAAGGTGCTTTTTTTCATAATAATTTCAAAATTTGTTAATGTCTTTTTATTTTATTACAATCGCCTGTAATATTTGCATTTTTTAATTGAATTGAATTTAATTTTTTATCGGAGGTGAGTTCTCTTCCACATACAGTCATTTTCGATTCCGCGATCAAAAGTAAAATTTAAATTCCAAAAAAAGTCGATTTTTTTATTTTAATTAAATTTAATTAGTTAATAAGTATTTTACTTTAAATAATAAATGTTATTAGATATTAAATCCATTTTATTAATTCCTTAATAAGAATAATTCTATAGGAATATTATCAAGAAAATTTATTTCTATTTCAGAATCAAAGACGTAAATTTTTAAAATTATAATTATGTAGGACAAATTTCTAAGAAAAAAAAAATTCTGACAACAATTCAATTTCAGAGTTTTTATTTGAAACTGTTTTAAGTAATTGAATTCTTAAAGATTTGTAATTCAAATTTTTGAAATTAATTAAACTTCAAGTGTTTTTTAATTGAAATTTTTGGTGATGAAGAATTTATTAGAAATTATAGATAAAAATTGAATTTCAAAAATTTTCAATTGAAAAATGCTTTAAAACATTTGAATTTTTGATGAATATTATAATTAAAATCATTAAATTTTGAAAGAGTTACAGTTGATGACATTTTTAGAAATAATTAAATTTTAGAAGGTTTTAAATTGAAATTTTTTGGTGATTTCTATTATTAAAGAATTTATTAAAAATTAAAGACAAAAAATTGAACTTTAAAATTTTTTTAAAGAAAAATGCTTTCACATAATTGAATTTTCGAAGAACATTATAAAAAATCATTAAAAATAATTAAATTTCGGAAGAATTATAATTGAACTTATTAAATTTTAAAAAAATAAAGACGTAAAACATAATATCAATGAAATAAATCTTATCTGATCTTATTAAATTTGAAAAAGTTTTAGAAGGAAAATTTTAAAAGTAATAAATTTTAAAAGGTTTTAATTGAAATTTTTAATAATTTTATATAATTGTTTTTTAAATTGTAAACAATTGTTGAATTTCATAAAATTTTTAACTGATAAATAATTTAAATAATTTATGTTGAATCTAATTTTCATGTCAAAAGAATTTTTATTTCACTAAATTTTTTATGGCAAATTTTCTACTTCAATAAATTTTGTTTTAAAAGAATTTTAATTTGACTAAATTTTAAAATATAACTAAATTTACATTTAAAGAAATTTCTATATATAACAGAACTTTATTTTAATCAAAAATATTCGTTGAAATAAAAATTCTCTATTCAACAAATTTGGGTATATTAGTAAGTTGAATTTTTAAATATCAAAATTTTAATTTTATCGATTCTTCATTTGTTCGAATTTTCATTTGTATAAGAAAATTGGAAAAATTTTATATAACTGCATCCCTTTTTTTAATACTAAATTTAATGAGAAAAAAAGTAACTTTGATTTTGAAATTTATCCTAAAAATTCTTTTACAAAAACAGTAATTTTTAATAATTGAATTAATTATTTAATTACATGTTATTTTGCCTTATTCTTCGATGGCCTCTGGTACGTTCTATTCTCAACCTTCGTCTTTGTATTTCATTCATCCGATGCTCTTCGATGGACTCGACATGTCCGAGTTCTGAAACATCGAATAAAAATTTATTAAATACATGAATTATTAATTAATAAATAATAATAATAATAATAAATAATTTTTAAAAATGATACTAAATATGATAAGATTACTGAAAAAGGAATTTTCAGTTTAAAATATTAATTAAATTTCAAAAGCGTCTCAGAAATACCGCCAATGTGAACATTATTGGCATTTAATTTGGAAAGTTGATCAATATTCAAATTGATACACACACACACATATATATATATACGAGAGTGCCATGAGCATCTGAAATTTTGCGAAATAAGTTTACATAACACGCGAGTCAAGAATTTAAGAAATTCCATAATAACTTTTGCGTCGTATATTATAAATCAATTTGAGAATCGAATAAATAATAAGTTTCGCACTCCAACATTAACGCTAGTAAATATATATATATAAATTTATAATAAGGAGTATATAATATGGAAAAAAAAATTATTCAGACATTCTTCAAAAATTGAATATTACATAATCTTGTATATAAAAAAAAATGTTTTTTATTCACAGTACAAATTGATTTTCACAAGAAACAATTTATCATTTATTGCTTCTATATATTTATTATTAAAATATTATTATTTCTTTAGTTTTCTAAAAAAAATAAAGCGATAATCATTGTATTTATTATTTGTATCCTATAAAGAAATACATAAATTCAAAGATAAAATGTGGATAGCTTAAGAATATTTTCATGTTAAATTTGAAAATTGTTAGTTTACAAATGAGGCGCTTATGAGGTTTCATTATTAGAATATGCAAATTTCTCTTAATAATATAACATTTGGTATTTTTGCTCATATGACCGTGAACGCGAATAACATTTGAAAGTACTTTCTTTCTAGTTGCAAGCACATCAAACGAAATAATAAGGACTTGTGTAAAAATGAATTTCCTTAGTGCTCGTTGGTTTAGTTCCGTCGATTAAAGTCAAACAGCCTTTCTCGTACGTGCAGCAACGTGTACTCATTTTTACATCAATTACACGTGTTTTAGAATTTCTCTCGTTTATGCGCTTAAATTTTTCAATGTTTCGAAGTATATAAATGCTAACTTTGTGTAAAATTATTTCATGAAACTTTACTCTCTAATGTAATGTTGTTTATAATAACACTGACAAAAAATTGATAAATACCTAAAATTGTAGAGAAGAAATTTTACGATTTGGGAAAGTGAGAAATATTAAAAAAATAAAAAAAAATAAGTGCCTAGAAAAAAATGAAGCTTAGGAAAATTATTTTAAAAAATTATAAATAATAATAAGTTACTTTATTGTATGAAGTTATAATTTTGAAATTTCTTTTTACAAGACTATAAGTTAGTGCAATAAAGATTTTTTTTGACCTTGAATTTCAGTCAAATTTTATGTTTTTTATATTATAAAATCGGACTTTTTTTCCTTAATTTTTATTTTACAAATAAAAAATTTATTTTTATATTTACCCAGGAGAAAAGATATAATTTGTTTTAAATAAATTTTATTTAATTGAAATAAAAATTTTATTTGTGATAAATAAAAATTTTTTTTTCTACTAAAATGTTTTTATTTAAAACAAATAAAAAGTTATTATCAGAGATAAATATATTTTTTAATTCAAATGAATTTTATTTATCTCAAATATGTAAAAATAAAAAATTTTTCTGGATGTAAATTTCTTATGAAATCGCACATTTTTTTGAAAAAATGTAGTTATTATAATAAAAAAAATAAAATCGCTAAAAATGTTTAAAAGTTCGAATATTTATAAAGTCTTGTATTATATTTTCTTAACGAAAAAATAAAGAAAAGGCTGCGGAAAATAATTAAATATATGTTTATGCATTAATTTCTGAAAGTATGTATACATATATAGACAGAATATACATATACAGTTCCTGTGTGAAAAGAAACGTAAGAAAAAATATTAGACTGGCATAAGGCTCGAGTTTCGTTGCAGGTGAAATTTATCGTGATCATGGGAAGTGATCATAGGAAATTTTGCATGCAAATAAGACTATTGTGGAAGTAGTTACTAGACCCTGTCTATACGGTCAAGAATATATTTCGAAAGCTAATAATTATATATCCTTAAGGTATACTATTTTATTTATTCCTCGCTATAATGTCCCGGTATAAAAAGGCTTGAATGTAAAAAAAAATTCAAATTATCTCATATTATTTAAAATTTGAAATTTACTTATTTGTATTTATTATACAGGAAATTCCCTTCTATTTTTAAGGTTATGTGATTGTTGTGATTTTACATGTAAATATTGTCCACAGGTTTTCTCGCAAAATATTTAAATAGATTGAGTTAAAATTTTGTGAAGAGATAAAAAATAGTTTATTTAATTCAAATAAAAATTATTTGGTATAAGTAAATATTTACAGTCGAGCCCATTTTTTACGATTTTGCTTATAACGACATACTCGAACCCTTCAGTTTGGTTTACATTGAAATTACTATAAACATGAGTCCGTTTATAGTGAGTTTGTTTAATAAAGACAACATATTCTTTTCTATATAAATAATATATATTATAACGTTGATTTTAAATTATTATTGATTTTTATTTTAAATATAAATTATTTATTATTATATTTTAAAGAAAATCAACGTTATCTACAGTTTTTAATTATTGATTTTGCCAAGATGCCAAGTTATTTTATGGAAAATAACTAAACCAAAAAAAATAGTTAAATAACCCGACAAGTAAATTTTATAATTCTAATTAGGAAAAACTACTCAGGCATTCCATTGTTACTTTACAGCAACAATAGACCGCGAAGAGGGGGATAGGGATAAACACCATTAATTAAACAAAATTTATAACAATAACACTATTTATTAATATTCACTTCAAATTTTAGAAAAAGTTAAATAATGGCATAAGGCCGAAAGACAAGATTTATATTTCATTCATTCAATTATATTTTAATAATAATGAGATCGATTCTGAAGGAAACGACTTTTAATTAATTTATTTGGACTCACCGTCCATTTGACGACGACGACGCGTCTTATTTTTATAGTTTTAAATTTTAATTATTTTACACGAAAAAGAATAGAACACAACTTGACTTTACTAACACCAGAATGATAATGAGAGTAAAATGGCTGACGAGTCAAACTCGAAAGCGTCGTTAAACAGCGGCCTCTCTTCTCGGTGTCATTGAGATCAATTAATATTCAATAATATAATACCCGCGACCGATAATCGATACGCAGTCGTCGGTAACGAAGATCTCTACACTATCCGATGTTAAATTAATTGATTCGAGAAGTCCATAGGAAATTGACTGCCAGTATTGATTTGACAGATCGTCAACAAAACAGCAGTTTCGTCTTCCTGGTGTTCTTAAATATTCGGGATTCTCAACCAAATATATACACCAGGAAGCTCTTCCCTTGATGATTTCTAATTTCAATGATAGATAGTGATGTCCTCAACGTCTTTGTGACCCGGCAACAATCCTCAATGCCTCGCGAGAGTTTTTATAACAGAAAGAAAGGAAAAATCAGAATCGAATTTATTTATTACAAGTCGACTATTAATCTGAAGACTTTGGCAAATAGGTTTGTCAATACAATAGCCTCGTGTCATTTATTCACAAAATATATTTAAATTTATTATTTTTAAGTCATTTGTTCGCGACAAAATGCCACGTTCCAATATACATATGTAAAACCAAAGGGTTTTGTAAAGTTAGCGACCGTTTGGTTTTTATTTGCAATTTTAAGTTTTGATAATTCAGTGATTTTTTGTAAAATCGCTTTAACGGTGTTCCGAAATGGCAAGCAGTGGCTGTCTTTTAAAAATGAGATACATTTAATTTCAAAAATATTATTCTCCCAATTCGGACAGAAATAGCAAAATCGGAAAATATACCAGTTATCCTGAGTTTGTGTACTTTCATTTGCCTCCAAGAAATTAAAAAATTATTCACATATAAAACGACAGGAAGTAAAATAGAAAGAGTATAAACATTACTTGATTCGAGAAGTTCATAGGAAATTGACTGCCAGTATTGATTTGACAGATCGTCAACAAAACAGCAGTTTCGTCATACTATGGTGTTCTTAAATATTCAGGATACCGTCTGGGGCAGCACCTGACGGCTACAAAAAAATTTCTTATTTTACTTTTTTACGTCGTTTATAGTAATGAATTTTCAATTTCTTGTGCGTAAATAAAAGTACAACATTTCAGGATAACTGGTATTTCTAAGTTTATATGTTTATGGTTTTGGCCTTTAGATCTTTTTAATTTTTGTTTTAAAATATTTTATTTGGTAATCAAAAATGATATAATATATTTATATATATTAATGCAAAATTACAATAACTCACAAAATGAAGAAATTAAAAAATGAGTCAAAGAAATGGAAAAATTTGATAAAAGGTTACATGTTCTTTTGGCTCATACAGACTAAAATTTTATTATTAATAATATTAAATAGGAATAAAAAAATAGTACAAAAGGAAATATATATAAATATATGATATAATTTCCCACGATATAATCTGGAATTTTTTTTTGTTGTAAAAGATTAAGTAATGGTTGTTACTTGTTTGATAAATTCTTCTTATTTTACTATACGCTCGTGCACTTCCATGTTTGGAAGTAAAATCACCAACGGTCATGAAGTGAGAGATAAGACAACTGCGGACACAACTTCTATGTGTTGTAAGAGGGGTAACCTCGAGGCATTTTGGTATTAGATATATTTATATACTTCCTTTCTATATGTATGCATTTAACGGACAGATAAGATCCTTGAATCAAAACCAATATTCCAGATTACAAGGAAACGTGTTTGCAATTAAATTTGAATTTAGATCACAATTATTCAAATATTATACATTTAGGCGCGGAGTTAAATAAAACAAACATGCGTTATCTTAATGAGAAAGAAATTTAGATATACTTTATAAAAGTATACCTTGTTTTGAATTAGCAACATTTAGATACCTGTAATCATCAGAATCAGAATAATT